GTACGGTGCGAAAAACGTTCAACATGCAGTTGTTTTGCGTACATTCGGGACGCCGTTGCCGCACACGACAACAGCCCGTCAGCTACACATCGTGGTGGTCGTGGTGGTGACTTCATTCATGAAAAAATTTACCCGTAAAAACAAAGTTTTTCACTCTAAATCCTTTATATGCGTGGCGGCTAGAGTCCTCTCGTCCTCTGGCTTGAGATGGCTGCCACCTATGGGTCAGATGATTGTCTGCCAGTATTAAGCAATTGGTAATTAAATATTTAATTTGTTTTCCCTAAACAGTGTAAAATTTTTGAAAAAAAATTTTCACGAACATTAATTGTCTCGCACAACGAATCTGTGTGCAAAATGTCAGCTCGATTGGATCACGGAAAGTGGGTTAAAAAACGACCGAAAGATTTGCACGGTCGTAAGCAAGCAAGCGAACTTAATATAAAGGATTTAAAAAAAAAACATTTTTTCTGGCCTGGACTTTTGCAGCTGTTTTAGACTAATTTCAGGGTGCTGATTCCAAATGTGATCTCAGATTTGCTCTATCACATCTCATTTTTATGCTATCGGCATACCCCATTTTCATTGATTTTACCCGAAATTAACTCGTCACTTATGATTGCAAGTTGTTGCGAGTCAGTGACTGCGTTAGTGTTAAAATATGGTGCTGTATTTTTAGGATAGTGTGTTTATAATATAATTTTACGTAGATATCCACATTTATTTAATATTTTTCTTCTGCAGTTTTTATTGAAAATGCAATATTTAATATCTCAAAAACCTGATGTGATGGACAAAAACTGATGCCAGATTTGGAATCAGCACCCCAAAATTACATTAAAACCGTTGGAATACCTTATGCCAGAAAAAGTGTGTTGACAAGTGTAATACACGGGCATTGTCTGTGAGACTGATTGTCCTACAGCAAAGACAGCAGCAGCCTTCTTCAGGGCTCAGTCTCACCACCAGCGTCAGTCCAGAGAGCAGTACAAGGGCAATGCCACCACCATCAGGGCATTCATAGCTTGGGGCGAGCAGCTACAACATGGGAACTTTATTGCCAGCATCAAAGTATGAAAAAAACAAGAAGAGGTTTTACTCTTTCTGGCAATAAAACAGGATTTTAATTTAGCTGTGACGGTCCCACCTGATGACGGAGACTTGTGTTGCCTCCGAAACGTCGTGATTTATTATTTTATTTCTATTATTATTTCTATTATTTTTATTATTTATTTTTCTTTTCTTACCTACGTGACTTTACCGAAAAAACCTAAGAGTAATAAAACAGGAGTTGTTTCAAGTTGTTAAGATGTTCAAACACCAAATAGAGGATAAATGTTGCAAAGGAATCCAGTTACTGCATTAACCACACACAGTGCTTCTGGTGGACATGCAAACAAACATGATCTGATCATAATCTATGGACATTGTCTTTGAGACTGATTGCCCTACACCAGAGACAGCAGCAGCCTTCTTCATGGTCCAGTCTCACCAGCAGTGTCAGCCCAGAGAGCAGTACAAGGGCAATGCCACCACCACCATCAGGGCATTCATAGCTCGGGGTGAACAGCTACAACATGGGACCTTTTCGCCAGTATCAAAGTATTAAACAAAAAGATGTTTAATCATTTCTGGCAATGACACAGGCTATTCTAGTTAGTTTTCTAGTTAGATTTTTGTTGCTATTTCTTTTATACATGATGATGATTGCTTGTGTTGCAATCGAAACGTCGTAATATGCTATTATTTAATTTATTATTTTATCTTTAGACGTGACTTAACCGAAAGAACCAAAGAATAATTCCTGCAGTCACGAAAGCTCCAAAATTAAGAATGACACAGGCGTTTAGCCAGGGTGGAAGAGTAGGCCAAAGCACCCTCGAACAAGCTACCCTACAGAGGGGCTCGTTCAGTGGAGGCTCCTTCCGCCAGCAGTGACGTGAGCAGGCGATTGCAGGGGCTGCTCCTTCACCCTGCACTCTTCATTACCCCCCCCCCCCCCCCAAACAAACAAAAGGCCACATCCGCGAATGGAACTTTGCGAATATTAAGACGCGCGCGCGCTCTCGTGTGTTTAACTTTCACAAAGCCGCGGGGTAAAAGTTTTAAAAAATTTTAACAACTCCTATTCACAGCGGCTGAATGGCTGAATTTTGCACAATGACCCCGTTTCGCCACCACGACGACCACCAAAGCACCTGCACCGTTCTCCCAGCTCGGGGCCTTCGTGCGCCACTTGAGAAGCCAGCGGCATTGTGAAGCGGACGCCAATTTCCGGAGCTGGAGTTTTTGAGAGAGAGGTGGAGAGAGATGGAGAGGGGGAGAGAGAGGGGGGAGAGAGGGGGAGATGGGGGGAGAAGGGGGGAGAGAGGGTGAGAAGGGGGGGGAGAGAGGGTGAGAAGGGGGGAGAGAGGGGGAGAGCGATGGGGAGAGATGGGGAGATATGGGAAGAGATGGGGGAGAGAGATGGGGAGAGAGATGGGGGAGAGATGGGGAAGAGAGATGGGGAGATAGGGAGGGGGAGAAAGATGGGAGAGAGATGGGGAGAGATGGGGGAGAGATGGGGGGGAGAGAGGGGGAGAGAGATGGGGAGATGGGGAGAGCGATGGGAGAGAGGGGGAGATAGATGGAGAGAGAGATGGAGAGAGTGATGGGGAAGAGGTGCAGGACTCTTGAGGTCAAGACGCTTGTGGACCACTCGAGTCACGGCCCGTGCCCTCTAAGTGCTGGGGGCTGCCCCCCCCCCACTCCCCCCACGCCCCCCCCACTCCCCCCACGCCCCCCACTCCCCAATGTGCAGACTCCGAGTGAGATGATAGAAGAGATGTAACCAAGATACAGATGTCGTGAGGACACAGACTCAATACTACGTGAGGCTACATGGGTCTCTATGCTAGGCCATGAGTCTCTATGCGAGGCCATGGGTCTCTACGTTAGACCAGTGTCTCTATGCTAGGCCATGGGTCTCTACGCTAGGCCATGGGTCTCTACGCGAGGCCACGGGTCTCTACGCGAGGCCACGGGTCTCTACGCTAGGCCAGTGTCTCTACGCTAGGCTATGGGTCTCTACGCTAGGCCAGTGTCTCTACGCGAGGCCATGGGTCTCTACGCGAGGCCATGGGTCTCTACGCTAGGTCACGGGTCTCTACGCTAGGCCACGGGTCTCTACGCTAGGCCACGTGTCTCTACGCTAGGCCACGGGTCTCTACGCGAGGCCATGGGTCTCTACGCTAGGCCATGGATCTCTACGCGAGGCCACGGGTCTCTACGCTAGGCCACGGGTCTCTACACTAGGCCACGGGTCTCTACGCTAGGCCACGGGTCTCTACGCTAGGCCACTGGGTCTCTACGCGAGGCCATGGGTCTCTACGCTAGGCCATGGGTCTCTACGCTAGGCCACGGGTCTCTACGCTAGGCCACGGGTCTCTACGCTAGGCCACGGGTCTCTACGCGAGGCCATGGGTCTCTACGCTAGGCCAGTGTCTCTACGCTAGGCTATGGGTCTCTACGCTAGGCCAGTGTCTCTACGCGAGGCCATGGGTCTCTACGCGAGGCCATGGGTCTCTACGCTAGGTCACGGGTCTCTACGCTAGGCCACGGGTCTCTACGCTAGGCCACGTGTCTCTACGCTAGGCCACGGGTCTCTACGCGAGGCCATGGGTCTCTACGCTAGGCCATGGGTCTCTACGCGAGGCCACGGGTCTCTCTGCTAGGCCACGGGTCTCTACACTAGGCCACGGGTCTCTACGCTAGGCCACGGGTCTCTACGCTAGGCCACTGGGTCTCTACGCTAGGCCATGGGTCTCTACGCTAGGCCACGGGTCTCTACGCTAGGCCACGGGTCTCTACGCGAGGCCACGGGTCTCTACGCTAGGCCATGGGTCTCTACGCTAGGCCACGGGTCTCTACGCTAGGCCACGGGTCTCTACGCTAGGCCACGTGTCTCTACGCTAGGCCATGGGTCTCTCCGCGAGGCCACGGGTCTCTACGCTAGGCCATGGGTCTCTCCGCGAGGCCATGGGTCTCTACGCGAGGCCATGGGTCTATACGCTAGGCCATGGGTCTCTACGAGGCCACGGGTCTATGCGAGTCAATAGACTCATGGCTACCTATGGTGCGAACTTCTTTCGCACCATACGTAGCCAACCGTGCTCATCTGTGGATATGATTGTGCCGAGTCTATGGGGTCTCTATGTGCCAATTTTTGGCGATATTTAAGACGTGATTGCTAATCACTGCTTTTGGTACAACCCACGACCCACCAGATAAGGGAACGGACGATACGATGAGTGGATGGATTGTTAAGGCGGTTGGTCGCAAACGGGTTTTGATTCCTTACCAATAACCGGCTGCACCAGGATCGCAAACGGGTACCCGGCCGGGTACGGTACGGGTATCGGGTATCGGGTACCTGATTGCAACCTCTGGGATGAAGCCATGTTGCAGGCGCGGGTGGGTTGATTCTAGGAACTTGAATTGTGAGAAGAGACAAGACGTTGGGAAATGAGTGACAAACGGTTACTCACCAGTGACTCACGGCCTACCCGTACCCGGCCGCACCAGGGTCGCAAACGGGTACCCGTACCCGGCCGGGTACGGGTAGCCGGATATCGGGTAGGGTACGGGTATCGGGTACCCGGTTGCGACCTCTGGTGTGTGGAGCTGCGGATGCGGCCGGTGCTGAAGATGCAGTGTTGCCCTCTGTGGGTCCCAGCGAGGATTTTCAAGGTTTGTGTCATTGACAGCACGAGGTTGGAAGTGCCGATTGCTTAAAATTCCCGATCCACCCTCGCGTAAAAAAACACAATAAAATAAAACTTCTCGTCTCAATGTTTCCTTTCACTCACCATGCTCGCAACCGATGGCAAGGCCTAAGACAAGTTCAGATGATCGTCACTGGTGTTGGCCCTGAGCGGGAATCGAACTCGGGTTCGCACGCACAGAGACACACACACACGCGCGCGCGCTGTTTAATCAGAAGGATTTAATATAGTGGTGAATGTCTCGAACACCGAAAGACGGATCGACACGCGTGACACAACACTAACGCCCACGAGGTCTGCCAGCTGTCACAGTCACGTGCGCGTCACCTAGGCCGTTGTGACGTCAGCCCCCCACAACGCTCCTCCCCTCCACACCAAGCTCCCCCTACACACAGCACGTGGTCACTCAGGGGGGCCCATTGCCAGACACGCGAGACGGCGCCATGGAAATTCTCGATTGGTTTTTATTTGATTAGTATCATCATGATTCTTACGGTCGCTTTATCATTATTTAGATGTTTACGGTATCATCATTATTCCTAGGGTCGCTTTGTCATTATTTTGATGTTTACGGTATCATCGTTATTTAGATTTTAGGTATTATTGTTATTACTACGACGGTCGTTTACCCTGGGGCAAGCTTCAGCGAGTCTCGTTAATCGATTTTTCACGAGGGTCCTGCCACGTTTTCGCAGGAGGGGTGGCGATAATTGCAGCTGCTGCTGTTGTGAAAATTCAAAAAATTTAGTGATTTTTTAGTTTTTCCGGTGTGATATTTACTCAATTTAACAGCAACAACGTGGACTGTGACGCTGGCGTGCGCGCACACGCTTGGCCTACTCTTCCAAAGGACGTCAGCGGGTTCCTTTAATGACCACTGTGAAGCAGTAGGGGCGTATAGTACCAAGACAAAGCAGCAGTCGCAGCAGCAGCAGTAGTATCAACCCTGGCGCTGGGGTGCCTCTCCAATCTCTCCATCTCACCACTCACGGGCCTCGCCATATCGTCTGGGAACTTCACCATAAACCCACAGACGCGAGATTCAACCAGGAAGGTTCCATGGTGTTGGATTAAGCCCCGGTTACAATTACGAATCAAGCCCGTCGACTTCATCGCAGGTATAACGTCTCTCACCTTGGCTCGCGACCCAGGGTCGGATACGCGAACCAGGGTCGGATACGCGACCCACCATTCGGCAATTCGTCACAGGGTGCACAAAACAGGTTAGCGGACACGGGAAACGACATCTCGCCGTGCTTTGGAAGCGACTCTACGCGCGAGGCAGAGGATGCGTCACCGTGCCGTTACATTTTTGGACGTTCTGACCGCGAGTACGCAACACGACAGAGTTACACCACGCTCCGAAAGCGCACTGCGGTGTGTGGGCGGTTAACTGGGTCGGGACGGGCATGCGCGGCTGTCGGATATGCGACGCTGTACCGTAGTACAGCGTAGGGGCGCCGCGGTGGCTAGGAGATGTTAACTACCTCGCCTGGTGTACGGGAGGTCGTGGGTTCCATTCCGACCCTGACACCTGTTGTACATTTGGAGTTCGTGGGATTATTTCTCTGGGTCCTCCGGTTTAAAAAAACAAAAAACGGGTTAACAGTTGCTCTTATTTCACAGTCGGGGAAGTAATAATCCGCGTTATGAATGACCGAGGATGAATCGTGGTTGTAGCGGTTACGGAAACTCGGCCGAACGGCCGATCGACGGTGATCGTGGCGCTTGCGCCGCACGGCGGAGTCCTCGCTCAACGCGTGGGCCGGTTGTTCAGGCGAGGAAACGCGCTTTCGCTCGACTGCAGTTACTGACATTTCGGGAACACTTTTCGCATCGCCTACATCGTCTGGACAGTCCGCTGGACCGTCACCTCTGGACCGTCACATCTGGACAGTCACCTACGTCTGGACCGTCACCTCTGGACCGTCACCTACGTCTGGACCTTCACGACAGAACCGCGCGCGAGCGACAGGGCAGATCGACTCGTCTCTCAAGGTCGCGTGGGAGTCCATGACCCCCGTGGACTCGTCATCGCCCGACAGTTTTGGCCAACAGGGGAACTGCAGAAAGTAGACAGGGTTGGGGAATTACAGCAAAGCATGGGGTGGAAGGGGGCGTTTGCTATGCTCCAACTGAGCTGTAATAATCGGTCACGATCTCTGCCCAGCCGATGCTGGGGGGCTTTTAAGAAGTCACATGATGCGTACGTAAATCATTAGCGGACGTTTTATATATATATACACATACACACACAAGTCAAGGGCGCTGTGGCGTGATGGACTAACGCGTTGGATGCCACCACACACCCTGCCTTCTGCGCGAGCCTGCAGTTTGTTACAAAGTCAGCAGCTGCCTCTCCAAGGAACGCACCGACAGTTTCACCTCCACCTCCACCACCACCGCCACCTACACCTCACTTCAGGTTGTCGACTTCTGGGTGCCACTGCAGTTGACGTCTCGCTGACCTGGCCTCCGCCTCCTCCTCCATTCACCCTGCTCACCACGCGTCCCACCCATCACTACCTCCTCCTGCTTCCCATTACATCGACAAGGCTCTCCCCCCCGCAGCGTTCTGAACCTACAAGTCGCTCACTCCACCCACCCTCCCTCCACACGACGCGTCTCCCGCACACCGCAACCTCTTCCACCACTGCATCCACCTCGCCACGTTACACTCCCCAACTTCCAAAGCTGCCCCTCGTCCTCCCCGCGAAATTCCGAGCGTTTCTCCGCACGCACCGATTGACAAAAGGGGCTACGGCACCTTTGGTCACGCCGGGTGAACAGTCCGCCACTCCGACCCGCGTCAGCTTGCCGTAACTTCAACCGCGATGTTTCGCGGCGTTAGCGCGTCATTTATATATATGTGTGTGCGTGCGCGCGTGCATGCGTGCGTATATATATTTCAAATATTGTTATTTTTACACAACGATGCAACTTAACCCGGCGACAGCGAAGAACGATTCACCGACAGACACGGCGAAGGATGCCAACACATCCGATCGCGAGTAGACGGCACCCTGGCTACAGCTAAGACCCAACGAACTACAACAGGACCACCGCACGACGCTAAACTTCACGCCTAGAGCATTCGGACGCGATCACGACGCCAACGGAAAGTGCGCGACCCCTAACCCGCGAGTCCGTGTCACGTATCAGCTGCGCGGCGCACAGATTATTTCGTCGAGTCCTCGACGGTATAATTCTGTACTTCTCCGTGGCTCTCCGCCCGACGCGTTGTCGCGTTTCGTATCGCGCGTCTGTCCCCCACCGGTGCGATCGTCTGACGTTTTTCGTCCCCCCCCCCATCCCTCCGCCCCCCCCACGTACTGCGTGCTCCTTCGATGATTAACGAGAACTTTTACTAACCAAGGAAGGGCCCCCCTCGTTGAGACAGACGCCGATGGATCGCGATGGTCGGGGGGTTCCCGGCGGCACTGGCACTCGCGGCAACGAGAACCCTCGCAACTAACGGGCCCCTGTGCCCCAGCGGGCCTGGCAGGTGGCTTCACAAGCCTTAGAAATGTGATGAACAACAAGGCAGAAGTAAAGTCAAGTAAAGTAAAAAAAAAGGTACAGGCACGAGCCAAGCTGCAATTTCCTCGTCGTAACACCGCTGGCAGAAGCTGCCTCCACGCGAGGATGTTTGAAGAAATTGCAGCGCGCACAATTTACCCTCCCCCCCCACCACACGCACAGAGCTGCCCATTCATATACCGCCGGTTTGAGGCAAGCGACGACCTGTAACCGTTGTCTGGACCGCCGCGCCGGGAGATCCGATTAAAACCGGCGACCTCTGGGATTGCAGGTCAAGCTGCTCTGCCGACCGTTAACACCACCGCGGCTGTATTTCGCTCCCCCCAAAGTAAAACGAGTTAGTACACTAAATGATTATTATCATCATCATCATCATCATCGATCCACTTCCGCGTGTGGTGGGGGGCAGCTACTTCTGCTATGGCACCAGACCGCGATAAGAGAGTGCAACGCATAACACTGTCGAAAGTCGTGGGTAACGACACAGCCTGGCAATAAAACCGGAGTCGTGTTCAGATGTTCACACACCAATAGAGGAAACCTTCATTGCATGTAAACAAGTTACTGCATCAGCCCCACACGGTACCGGTGGTGAAAGTTCAAACGAACGTGGCTCCGATAATAACACATGGGGGCATTGTCTGTGAAACTGATTGGCTTACAGAGACAGCGGCCTTCTTTAGGGCCCAGTCTCACCGCCAGTGTCACGCCAGAGAGCAGTACAAGGAGAATGCTCTCAGAAAATTAATAACTCGGGGTGAGCAGCTACAACACGGGACCTTTTTGCCAGCATCAAAGTATGAAAAAACAAGAAGAGGTTTTACGCTTTCTGGCAATAAAACAGGAGTTGTGTTCAGATGTTCAAACACCAAATAGAGGAAACCTTTTACAAAGGAATCAAGTTACTGCATTGGCCCCAAACAGTACCTGTGGTGCACATGCAAACATAACATGGTTCTGATAATTTCTGGGCATTGTCTGTGAAACTGATTGGCCTCCATCAGAGACCGCTGCCTTCTTTATGGCCTAGTCTCACCGCCAGTGTCACGCCAGAGAACAGCGCCAAAAGGCGACACACCGGCGAGGCTGGGTCATGAATAAGGCTGCTGCTGTCTCTGCTGTAGGCCAATTAGTGTCAAAGACAATGCCCTTAGATTATTATCAGAGCCATGTTTGTTTGCATGTTCAGCACAAGTACTGTTTGTGTGTGTGGTTAATGCGGTAACTTCATTCCTTGCGAAAGGTTTCATCTATTCGGTGTTTGAACTTAACGCCTCCTGTTTTATTGCCATGCTGCCAAACGCCGGCGAGTAAACCCGCTGCGAGCGGTCTGAATGGGCGCGGCGTAGGGAGGCAAGCGAGACGTTAAATAAAATAAAAAAACAAAACAAAAAGTCGACGCTTACGCCGACGGTAAACACGCAAACTCCGGCTGAGCCAACGAATAAAGGCAGTGGTCACCGCATCATCGCGCGGCTCCTTCGGATGTGCGTCTGCGGCCGTCTGGAACGCTCTCCCTTTCCGATATTTATGAAGCCACTAGGAGCTATGCAACTTTTAAATCGTCTTCTACATTGACAAAATCATTTCTTTCAAACTGCAAATTGTGTTTAGCTTGTGGTCCTTCTCCCCCCACCCGCACCACCGTTTAGCGCGGTTGGCTATGTACGTTGGTGCCAAGAGAAGTCAGAGACCCATAGACTCGCGCAGAGACCCATAGACTCGCGCAGAGACCCATAGACTCGCACAGAGACCCATAGACTCGCACAGAGACCCATAGACTCGCACAGAGACCCATAGACTCGCACAGAGACCCATAGACTCGCCCAGAGACCCATAGACTCGCACAGAGACCCATAGACTCGCACAGAGACCCATAGACTCGCACAGAGACCCATAGACTCGCACAGAGACCCATAGACTCACGCAGAGACCCATAGACTCACACAGGAGACCCATAGACTCACACAGAGACCCATAGACTTACACAGGAGACCCATAGACTCACGCAGAGACCCATAGACTCACACAGGAGACCCATAGACTCACGCAGACCCATAGACTCACACAGGAGACCCATAGACTCACGCAGAGACCCATAGACTCACGCAGAGACCCATAGACTCACACAGGAGACCCATAGACTCACACAGGAGACCCATAGACTCACACAGAGACCCATAGACTTACACAGGAGACCCATAGACTCACGCAGAGACCCATAGACTCACACAGGAGACCCATAGACTCACACAGAGACCCATAGACTCACACAGGAGACCCATAGACTCACGCAGACCCATAGACTCACAGAGACCCATTGTCTGTCATCTTTGTCCCGCACCTCCAATTAGCACGGTTGGCTACGTGTGTTGGTGCCTAAATAAGTTGAACACGCACACAGAGGAGAGAATGGAATCGACTTTGCGCGACCCGTGCAATCAGCGGGCATGGACGGACGGACGGTTGGACGGAACGAACGAGGGGCGGCGAAGGAAGATGCGAACGAGCGAAACGGCCGTGCGCCGGTCTGCCACCTCAACGTGTTGTCCTCTCGTATATATAAAGACCACGTGTCAATTCTAACGGCCGTCCGATTGATTTTTTTTTTTAGATATGCATATATGTGTGTGTGTGTGTGTCCCGTCAACTATAAATGCGAACCTGTGGAAAGGTGGCAATTTCACGGTGATGAGCTTTTGTTATATTCATGGTTTTTCTAATAACACTGACGCACGTAAAGGGAAACGAAAAGTGTGCAGAGTTTGATTGAAAAAAATCGGGGGGAGGTTTAGAGAGGGCGCGACGGGGGGAGTGGGGGAGGGTGAAGAAAAAAATCGATCAGAATTGGTGCCGTCTGTGCTCAATTAGCAACGAGAACGAAACAAAAGCCAACTAAACACGCGATTGAAGACGACTTTTTAAGGCCGAAAATGTGGGGGGGATTTCCCCACAACTCTGTGGCTGTCGCCTGACGATGCAGGTTGTTGTAATTACCGGCGAAACGTCACGCCACCTCGAATTGTAAACGTCGTTGTGGGTTTTCACTCCCAACACACAACTGGTGTGTGCGGTGTTAGGAACGAATTGGCCACGTTCGGTTTATGCGACACGAACCTTCACTAATTGGCCGTGTCGGGTGGTGGCGGGCTTAACGGCACGTTTATATTCACGCGATCTAACCACCCAGAACACCTCTACTCTAGGGGCAGTGTTGTCGAACGCGCTAGGGAGGTTATTGTACGCGATTGCAGTTCATTGATGTATCTTAACTAAAAAATAAACACACGTGCACCCAGTTATCCGATTTTGAAAATAAAATAAAATTACAAAATGAAAATCTGAACCAAACACGCGCGATCATCAAAAAATAAGAACATTTTTGCGCGTGCCGTGCAAAGCCAAGAGTGGCCGGTGCCTTTGCAGGAGGGCGCGAGCGACAGAGCGGAAAGCTTTCGACCGCTCGTCACGAAACAACGTGGGCAACAAAAAAACACGCTCAAGGAAACCTCCCCCCACCCCCCCCCCCCCCTCACAAGCCGTTTGGTGTCTGAAACAAAAAAACAACGAATCCTGCAAAAACCGTTTCGCCAAACCGGGCGTCGAAACGAACGCGGTCAGTGCCGTGCCCCGTGGCAGTGGCCGTGCCGTTTCACGGGAACCGTCGAATCGCACGCACGGAGACCGCCCGCCTAGGGCGGCCGCCCTGCTGTGCCACCCCCCCCCACCGCACTCCGCTTCAGTCTCTCTTCTTGTTCTTGCCCTTGCCGGCGTTGGGAGAGGATGCCGCGGCACCGCCGGCCTTGCCGCGGGCGCCACCGCTGCCGCCATCGTCCGCCCTGCCGCGCTGCTTGGCGCCGGAATCTCCGCCGCCGTTCTTCCGCGCGTCGCCGGCGCCGTGCCCGCCGCCCGTGCCCGGCTTGTCTCGCCCGCCGCGCGCGCGGCCGCCGGACGAGCCGCCGCCGGTCGCCGCCGCCGCCGGGTGCCGCCGCGGCGCCAAGACCCGTCTGAAGAGCGCCGCGAGCGCCACGGCCGCCACCGCGGCGGAGAAGAGAGACCAGACGACGGTGGGCCCCGTGTGCGGCTCGCTGAGAGCGCGCGCGCCACTCAGCAGCTGCAGGATCGGCGACGCAGAATCGCCCTCCGGCTCCTGCCTCGGCTTTCCGCGGTCCTGGTGGGGGCGGGGGGTTGGGGGGGGTTAGGGGGGGGGGAGACAGACAACAAAGACGAAGATCCCCCGTGTAGCCTTTGACAGACTGTCGGGGCAAGTGCTGTCAGCAAGCAGCAGATCGCGTGGTCGGTGGCCACGCACGGGAGCCTTCGTCTGCCCAGCGATGGCGTTCACACACCGCACCCGCCGTGGGTCGGGGTGCCCATGTGGGTGCCCCTCTGGGTGCCACCGTGGATGCCGCCGTGCCCCCCCCCTCCCCTCACCTTGAAGTCGTGTTGCCGGAGCACGGCGTCGAAGGTGGGGTCTCCGAGGAAGACGGCCGGGTAGAACTCCGAGACCAACTCGCGGCGCCACCACTCGCCCGGCATCGACCTGTGGGGTAGGGGGGGTGGGTGGGGGGGAAAACCCGCCGGGGTCAAAGCGCTGCCGTGACCCCCCTGGGGCCGCCACGAGGTCGATCGCCTCCGGCGCGAACGTGGAACGCGACGTCAAAGTCCGTCATTCCGGCGAGCAGCACCCGCCCCGACCAGCCCGCCGAGGCTACGCACGGGAGGGGGTCTACGTCTCTGTGTGCGCGTGCTCACCCGTCCTTGTCGGGGCTTGTGTAGGAGTACTTGTAGAGCTGGGCTCGCACGAAGGTGGGGGGGCGGTCGCTGAACGGGTAGCGGCTCCTGTCAACCTGCAGCAGGCGCTCCACTGGTGGGCGAGGGATAAAGGGGGGCGCGTGTCAACGCAAAGGCAAAGATCGCCCACCCCCCCCAGGTCGTAACCGGGTACCCGATACCCGTACTCTACCCGATACCCGGCTACCCGTACGCGGCCGGATACGGGTAGCCGATTGCGACTCTGGTGCGGCCGGGTACGGGTACGGGTAAGGAATCAAAACCTGTTTGCGACCTCTGCCCCCCCCCCTATGAAGGCGGGCACGGCGCACGCGGATGGACGTCACCAACGTCGGCGGCCGTGAGCGGGAATTGAGCCCGGGTCGCCGGATTCGCGGCGCGATAACCCACGCACAAACGACAAGGGCCGCCATTCGCCACTAAGTGCCGGTGACGTCACCGTGGCATCTGTGCCAAGCTCGGTGCACTTTGAGGCCACGTGAAGAGTCAAAGGCTCTTTGGCGGGAGTTCACAGGAGGCCCAGGGTTGACCGAATGACACAAAAGTATACAAAGACAAAAACAAAGCTCCCCATATAGCCTGTTACAGGCGCTACAGACTGTAGGGGCAAAGTGCTGTTAGCGAGCACCTATGAAGGCCGGAAACGGCACACGAGGGGGTGGGTCGCCAGCACCACGCCCGGCCTTCTTTGTCTCCCCAGTGGCGATGTTTACACACCGCACCAGGTACTCATTTGAGGCCGAGTCGACGTAGGGGAGGCACAGGACCGGTTCACATAATTGTCACAGGTGTTGGCCGTGAGCGGGAATCGAACTCGAGTCGCCGGGTACATGAACAAGATTATACACATCACTCACACACACACACGCACGCGCGGACATAGGCCCCACACAAAGACAAATACGTGTAGATTCACAGCAGAGGTCGCAAACGGGTTTTGATTCCTTACCCGTACCCGGCCGCACCAGGGTCGCAAACGGGTACCCGTACCCGTACCCGGCCGTACCCGTACCTACCCTTACCCGGCCGGGTTGATTCTAGGAACTTGAATTGTGAGAAGAGACAAGACGTTGGGAAATGAGTGACAAACGGTGACTCACCAGTGACTCACGGCCTACCCGTACCCGTACCCGGCCGCACCAGGGTCGCAAACGGCTACCCGTACCCGTACACGGCCGGGTACGGGTAGCCGGGTATTGGGTAGGGTACGGGTATCGGGTACTCGGTTGCGACCTCTGATTCACAGACACACACACACAGAGAGATGCATCAAGGACAAAGATCCAGCCTACACCGGACGTTGGGGCAAGTGCTGCCAGCGAGTGGCAAGGCAGGGCACGGGGGCACAGCATGGCAGGGCGTGCGCTATTACCGTTGGGCTTGCCCTGCAGCAGGCGGTAGAGGAGGCTGCTGAACCAGGGGCTGTGCTGCTGATCCCCAAGGGCGGCAAACCACATCTGCCAGTCGAGGCGCGGCTGGTGGGGCGCCACCACGGGAGGTGCGGCGCTCACGTTGCCCGGCTTGTACATGAACTCCAGCTCCTGGCAGCGCCAACACACGCCGCCAAACGAAAACGCCGCCGCCGCGGGAAACAAGAACCGTCACGGACAACGAGGACGCTGCGGCTGCTAGCGACACGGCCGTTGCCGCCGGCGCAGCAAGGGTTACAGCCGTACTACAACCGCTATTAACACCGCAACCACAATCGTTACAACCGTACTACAACCGCTATCAACACCACAACCACAATCATTACAACCTCACTACAACCGCTACCAACACCGCAAACCACAACCATTACAACCAAACTACAACCGCTACCAACACCACAATCATTACAACCGTACTACAACCGCTACCAACACCACAATCATTACAACCTTACTACAACCGCTACCAACAGCACAACCATTACAACTGTACTACAACCGCTACCAACAGCACAATCATTACAACCGTACTACAACTGCTATCAACACCGCAACCACAACCATTACAAACAAATTACAACCGCTACCAACACCGCAACCACCTCCATAACCATCACCACAACCACCACAACCACCATCTCAAAGACCCCCCCCCCCCCCCGTGTAGCCTTAACAGACTGTAGGGAGAAATACTGTTAGCGAGCAGCACCTATGAATGCCGGCACAGCACACGAGGGGGGTGGATGGCCAACACCAGGCCAAGTCGACCTAGGGGAGGCCCAGGACCGTTTCCGATAGCATGTTGGCTGTGAGGGGGACTCGAACTCGGTTCGCCGGGTTCGCAGCGCAGCTTGCTAACCATGGCACAACCACCACCATCACGCACACAACCACCCACCACAACAACCACCACCACGGCAAAGAAACACAAGCATGTCCGCCAGCCGCGCCCATGCATCACCAACCCCCCACCCCCAATCCCACACCGGCTCGCGCACCTTCCAGCCTCCGCTCATGCTGTGGCTGCCCTCGATGACGACCTCCGGGCGACCCCCGACCCCGGTCATGCGGCGGAAGAGCCCGTAGGATCCCGTGAGGTGCAGGTGCTCGAGGGAGGAGTGGGCGCGACGCACGCCGGGCCACAGGGCCGCGTGAGCGTCCTGCTGCAGGTACGTGTACGGCACCTGGCGGGGGGAGGGGGATGGGGATGGGGGGGGGCACACGGAGAGTGACGCTCGCCACCCGCGGAGCCAGCCGAGCGAGGCAGGGGAAGGGAGGGCGCGGCGCGACCGTGCGCCGGGAAGTCCCGGAGGGTCGCGTGGAGCTTCCGCGCAGGCGTTATAGGCGGCCGGTCGAAAGGACGAAGCCGCCCGATCGATTCCGAGGCTGAGCCACGGACAGGGGACGCACTTGCGAACGGTGCGGTGGGTGGCTAGCACCACGGAGAGGCGCGGTAGGGGGTACAGCTGGTGGTGCATCTGCCGGTCATCTCGGTCGGTCAACCCATGGCACCTGCTGGGTCTGTCCCCGTGACCTCCTGTCAGGGAGCCTTCGACACTTCGCGTGGCCTCAAAGTGCACCTGGCTTGGCACAGGTACCGTGGTGACGTCACCGTCACTTGGCGGCAAATGGCGGGTATTGGTATTGGTACAGACTGCTGGGGCAAGCGTCGTTATCGCGAGCAGCAGCTATGAAGGCCGGCACGGCACACGAGGTGGGGGTGGTGGGGCTAGCACGATGCCAGGATGCAGTCTCCCCGTCGGTGATGTCTTTACACGCAGCACGGGGAATTCATTTATTTTAAGGCCAAGCCGACCTAGGGGAGGCCCAGGCCCGATTCAGATACTCATCACAAAGGTTAGCCGTGAGCAGAAATCGAACTTGAGCTCATCAGGTTTCGTAGTGCAGCGCGCTAAACACTTCAGCCACTGTTCTTGACACGCATGCGCACGCCACTCGGGTACACGCACGCTCGCTCGCGCACACACGCTCACGCCACTAAGGCACGCTTGCTCGCGGACACACGCTCATGGACACACGCTCGCTCACGGACACACGCTCATGGACACACGCTCATGGACACACGCTCGCTCACGCACACACGCTCACACGCGCCACTCACCAGGCTGATGGTGAACATCCCGGCCGTGGCCAAGAGGAAGATGGCGCACTGAAGCGTCGTCCAAAACTTCCAGAAGAATCCACGCTGGCACGCACAGCTTCCACAGCCGGACCACCCCGCATACACGCACGAGCACACACACGCAAACAAGCGCACACACACACACGCGCAGGCACACACGAACACAGGCACACACACACGCGCAGGCACACATGAACACAGGCACACAGGAACACACAAACGCACACACACACGAACGCACACACACAGGCACACACGAACGCACACACACAGGCACACACGAACACACACAGTTAACCACCTTGCATCAATAATTTTAGGGACCGTGTGTGGTCTGGGACTTATGTTGTTTTTGTAGTTGTTTGCTGCCTTGCCCATATATATGCAATTTGTTTATCGTTAGGTTTTTTCGGTAAAGTCACATAGGTAAAAAATTAATAAAGTACAATAAAAATCAAATAAAAATCACGACGTTTCGGAGGCAACACAAGCTTCCGTCTTCAGGTGGAACCGTCACAGCACGGTAGCTGTATCAAGTGAGCCGGCAAAGCAGACGGCCGCGTAGCCACTCGAGTTGAAAGGGGAACCTCTGCGACAAGCGTCGAGCGGGCGACCGCGAGGCCTTGTCGGCATCGACGATGACGATGATTTTACGACGACGAGTGCTGTTAGCTCGCAGCATCTATGAAGGCCGGCACGGCACACGAGGGGGTGGGAGAGGCGCGAGATGGCAGCTCACCGGTAGAGCGCTGCCAAAGCCTCCCATGCCAGCGACACGCCTCCGATCCACATGGTGATGGGCACGGCATCTTTGAGCCAGGCCATGAAGTCATAGTAGGTGAATCCTGCAAACGCACGCAAACCACCAATGTGCCCCCCGTTGTAGCCTTAACAGACTGTAGAGGGCAAGTGCCGTTAGTGAGCAGCACCTATGGAGGCCGGCACGGCACACGAGGTGGTGGGTAGCGAACGCCACGCCCCATTGACGATTATTTTACACACCGCACCACACAGATAAGAGACAAAGATCCCCAGTATAGCTTTAAGACTGCTGGAGCAAGTCCGGTTAGCGAATAGCACAACCTATGAAGGCCGGCACGGAACACAGGGGGGGTAGGTGGCCAGCACCACGCCCGGCCGCCTTTGTCTCCCCAGTGGCGATGTTTACACACCGCACCAGGTACTCATTTGAGGCCGAGTCAACCTAGGGGAGGCCCAGGACCGGTTCAAATAATCCTCACCTGGTGCTGGCCGTGAGCGGGAATTGAACCCGGTTCGCCAGGTTCGTAGCGCAGCGCGCTAACCACTACACTACTGCTCCCCTCCAGAACACACACATACATACAAAGACCCCCCCCCCCCGCCACGTATAGTCTTAACAGATTGTTGGGGCAAGTGCTGTAAGCGAGCAGCACCGATGAAAGCCGGCACGGCGCACGAGGGAGTGGGACAGAGGTCGCAATCGGGTACCCGATACCCATACCCTACCCGATACCCGGCTACCTGTACCCGGCCGGGTATCGGGTAGGCCGTGAGTCACTGGTGAGTAACTGTTTGTCACTCATTTCCCAACGTCTTGTGTCTTCTCACAATTAAAGTTCCTAGAATCAACCCACCCGCGCCTTGCAACATGGCTTCATCCCAGAGGTCGCAATCGGGTACCTGATACCCGTACCCTACCTGATACCCGGCTACCCGTACCCGGCCGGGTATCGGGTACGGGTAGCCGTTTGTGACCCTGGTGCGGCCGGGTACGGGTAAGGAATCAAAACACGTTTGCGACCTCTGGAGTGGGAGGCCAACATCACACACACACACACACGGGTGAACATCACTCCCTCACCGATCTTCGACTCCACGACGCCCCTCTCCCAGTCCACCTTGAGGTTGAAGTAGGTGACGGCCCAGAAGGCCAGCGTGCCGTACACGCCGCACTCTGCCAGCCTCGCCAGCCGGTCAAACCAGGGCGACGCCTGCTGACCTGTCGTGCGCACGCAAAGACGTCCCCCGCTGTTATAGCGAGCACCTATTAAGGCAGAAGGGGCGGCTAATTAGGCATGCATTTGTAGGCCTGGCCGGACGGGTAACGTGGCCCAAACCCAAAAGGGACTTAGTCACGATTCATCATCGATTTTTCTGGGTCAGACTGCTGTGCAAAGTGTAATATGCCGCGTGGTAAACCCTTCTTGATTCATCGTCGACGCAGCCAAGTTGATGAACAAAACGTGGACAACGTTTTGTTCACATTTACGCAATTTAACCCACAAAAAACTAACAAAAACGTAACCTGTATTATCGGGGACAACGTATTTCTGCACCGAGCACCACCTGGCGGTAGTGTTGGGGAGAGCGACCCACAAAAACGTCCGTTCATCGCAGTGACAACTTCACTCATTGGCAGCGCCGGGCGCAGGAGGGTGTACGATCCCACCCAGAAAAACGTCGACCCAGGCATCGTGACACAACACTGGTCGCGCGTGAAGCCCCGAGCACGCTCGCGCGTCGATCATCAAGCCCCGCCTCCCCGCGTGAACGAACGAACGATCGCTGGTCCCGGTCCGTTTGCGCCGCGCGCGACACGCGTCCCACACACCCTTGAGCTGCTGGGACGCCGCAGCGGTGGGGGGGCGACGCTGGCGCAGCAGCCACGAGGCGTGGCCGGTCGTCCAGCAGCGACAGGCACAGCACCAGCGTGAGGAGGTTGAAGAAGTTGTAGTTGCCGGTGACGATGATCATCAGCTGGAGCAGGACCTGGCGACGAGAGACACGCGCGCGCGCTTGCACGTGGCTTTATCGCGGCCGCCGCCGACGACGACGGACGATCAACAGCCGAAGACATTGAGAGCTTGGGGAAGTTTCCGTGCTTTGGGTGCCTAAGCAACTGAAAGTCTGCGGCTGCGTGTGGCAGGCTGTGGTAACGGAAGAACTTTTGGGCACACGGCGGCCCGTGACTGTTGCGGTGACGGTGGCGTGACGGTGGCGTGACGGTGGCGTGACGGTGACAGCGGTAGCGACGGCAACGATGACTGCACCCTAGCGGGAGGGGGGGAGGGTCCCTCGAACTCTGACCTGCGCGTAGAAGGAGAAGATGCGCACGCGGCGCAGCGGGCAGAAGAACAGCACGGGCACGGGCACTTCGATGGCGTAGGTGGCCACCACGCTCAGCTGCTGCACCCAGCCAGGGAGGTGGTGGGCAAACCACGCCGCCGGCGTGGGGATGCACTGGCTCTCGTAGTGGAAGTTCAGCGCTGCGGGGGCGGAAACACACCCACAGATTCGCACAGAGACCCGTAGATTTACACAAAAATGTATAGATTCACACCGAGACCCATAGATTCGCACAGAGACCCGTAGATTTACACAGAGAAGTTGGAGGCGGAGGAGGAAGACTAGCAGGAGGAGTTGGAGGGCATCTCTCACCGGACAGCGTCCACCACGTGGGGCATCGGCTGGTGAGCTTGACAACCCCCGACGCGAACATGAGACGGAAGAGGAGCCAGCGCAGCAGCCAGAACGTGAGGCCATCGTGCGGCCGCTGGGTGGCCGGGCGCCACTTGATCAGCCGGAGCGGGGCCACCAGTATCGTCAGGAAGCCGGTCTCCAGCAACAGGTTGTCCCTGCGGGGAGGAGGGCGACAGCCGATGGCGCAAGCGGCCGCGGTCACAGTTCGCCGAGCTCCGTTGGCTTCCGGTTGCTGAACGAACGCGTTGCGAGGTCGCGCTTGTTACACTCGCACGCAAAGTGCGCGAGTGAATCATCACAATGCCTCGCTGATCTCGTCATGGAGCATAAACCACCACGCAAACTCGGTCATCCTCGCAGCAGCAGCAGCAGCGGCAGCGGCTTTTGGCTGGCCGTCAAACAAAGATGGTCACCGTTTCGGGAGGTGCTTTCAGGTGCGCTGCTGCGGCTGTCTGGAACGCTCTTCCTTCCGATATTAGCAAGCCATGCGCTTCTAAACTGAAGACTCATTTCTTTAGAACTGCTTTTTGTGTTTACTTTGTTGTCTTTCCCCCGCACTTCCGATTAGCACGGTTGGCTACGTACGGTGCGAAAGAAGTTTAACGCACGTACGTACATAGCTGCGCTGGGACAGTGCAACGCCCATCGGATCGAGCCGTCCTCAGCTCAGCAGTCCGATACGCGAGATAAACTCACACACGCACACACATCGATAACACCGGGGCCTTAAAGGTAAAGCGATAATAGGTGACGGTTCGGGCAATGACCCTTCTTCGCAGCGCACAGAGTGGACAGAGAGACTGTGACGCGGTTTCCTCCGCGGTAAATCCCTAATAGCAATGCGACACTCAACTAAGTGAGCATTCCTACTGGATCATCCTAACGAGAGTTACCGTGTCCGCTCTCCCCCTCATGGACCGACAGAAAGATAGAGACGTTGCATAGACGCCGCCGTTGACAAGCGTAATGACAAAATATACCACGCAAATTACTTAATTACTGCTCAAAGAGTGATTGAAGAGTACCGATGTGGAACAAACGTTGTACTCACCACTGGAAATAAAGGAACACCTGTCCAACCTGTGGGAGAATGAGAGAAAAAAGCATTGAAAATCAATCGCAATGAAAGATATTATCACTGTGAAATCGCACCAACCAAAATCCGGAGTTACGACCTCCTGATGCTATTCTGAATTAAACATATGGCCTGTGCAGCTCCTCTTTGTGCGTGGCTGTTAACAATTAATGTACAAACCAGGAGACACAGACATGTCCTTTCAGGGGGATGGCATCTGGTTTAAATAAGAGTTTGCACTGCAATGACCACGGAATAATACTTTCATTTTAGATCGCATCATTCTCACGCCAACGGCAGTCCCACAACATTGTACATTTAAGCAACATGTCCCGCAGTTTCAACTGCAGCGCGGGGAGAATGAACGCACACGCGTGACGACAATCCAGGGCTGGCGTTGCGACGCCGTGTGCTACGAATCCGGCGGCCCGAGTTCAATTCCCGGTCAATGCCTAAAGTCGGCGGCGAATGAGCGGTGTCTCCGATGCTGGTTCTGGGTTTCTCGCGCCCTTCACGCAACCCACGCTGACCAGTGCAGTGAAGTATGGTCATAAACGCCCAAGACGCGTATGGCGTGCGGGGGGGGGGCCCTCAAATAGCCGCAGTTCGACATTAAGGGCTGGACACACTGTGGAAGTTAGCAGGGTGTGGGGCTGGTGAATGGTTCCTGGTGAACTCTGGGTAGGATGGCAGACAGGAACACCGACCCCGCCTCACCTTACCACCTCGTCATAAGGGAGTTCAACTGTGACTACGAATACAGGGTGCTTAAAAAACAATTGTTTACACTTCTGAGAAATTGCAACAACACCACGAGAAATTTCGATTTAAAGCTTTCGTGACTGCAGGGATTCATCTTCTTGGTTCTTTCGGTAAAGTCACATAGAATGGAAATAATAAAATAATAAGAATAAAACATAATAAAATAATTCTCACGACGTTTTGGCCACAACGCAAGCAGCCGTCCTCAGGTGAAGAACAGGTCTGTCGATAAGACAGAGTCTGAATGACACATCCTAGGCTTGGAGCGTCTATTTAAGCTGGGAGGGAGGAGGAAGAGCGCCTTGACAAAATAACTTGCATATCAAGAGGAACTTTTGTATATTTATGAGAAATGCAGATATGCGATTAGTACTACTTGTGAAATGCGTAGGGGGTTTGGCGAGGGGTTTAAAGTGTGCTTCTGGGCTCTGTAGACCACCTGGAGAAGATCCCAGGCACGCGTTGACAACGATGGCAAACAAGTGTGAGACATTGTCTTTTTGAAGCTATTAACATTACATTTGTTATCGTGTTACATTCTATCATGATCCGTTCTTTTTACATGAAAAACGATAGCCCCGTGTAAGTGTTAAAAAAACATTTGAAGCGCCTTGTATATTATTATAACACTATATATTATTAACACTATACAGGGTACTTAAAAAAGAAATGTTTAACACGTCTGACAATTTGCAACAATACCACGGGAAATTTGCCTCCGGGCTCTGCAAAAGATTCTAAGGCACGTGTTGACAATGATGGCGAACAAGTGGGAGACCCTTTGACTTTTTGAAGCCATTAACATTACATTTGTTTCCGTGTTACAGTGTATTAGTATCCTTTCTTTTCCAATAAAAACAATAGTCCCATGTAAGGGTTACCATTTTTTTAAGCACCCTGTGTAGTAAATATATGAAGCCATCTGGCTGACTTAGTACTCAGCCGACCGTTACGATGTGCCATGAATAATGGCCATTGCCTGAAACGTCACCTACTATGTACTTTTTCTTTTCAAAGCCACAGTGATATTGATGAATGTGTCGAGGGTTTTGGGGATGTTTTTTAATCGTTCCACTACTCTGCGCACGCACTCTGCCCGTGTCCTCAAACGTCCCGTTATCAGCACTTACCAGCATTTATGTCACCATTGCCGAATGGAGAGGAAAAAAAACACAACCGATAAACTCCGCCACACCAATATTTGTGTTTAAACATTGCAGGGGGCGGGGATGGGGGGGGGGTAAGTGGCTGGCGCCCATCGCCTGCCGCACCTGGTAGAGCGACAGGTAGAGCACCCAGAGGCACAGGAAGGTGAAGGCGTCGCGCATCGGCTCAAAGACCATGGCGGCGAGCGAGAGGCCGGCGCCCAGCAGGCACGCCAGCTCCATGCCCTGCTCCACGTCCAGGCCCAGACGCGGCACCAGCCACAGCAGCGTGGGGCGCTCCCACATCAGCTGCGCCTCCGGCTTGCCCTGGGGGCTCAGCTGCTTGCGTGCGGGGAGGATGCCCTCGCGGCCGTACAGACCTGCGGAACGATGCGGGAAGGGGTCGGGTTCAAGGGATGCTGCGGCGGTGGAATGGTCCAGCGGGTTGGCAACCTCAACCAGCTTCTTTCGGTAAAGTCACGTAGAATGGAAATAATAAAATAATAAAAATAAAACATGATAAAATAATTCTCACGACGTTTCGGCCACAACGCAAGCAGAACAGGTCTGTCGAGAAGACAGAGTCTGAAGTGAGAATTATTTTATTATGTTTAATATTTATTATTTTATTATTTCCATTCTACGTGACTTTACCGAAAGAACCAAGAAGATGAATCCCTGCAGTCACGAAAGCTTTAAATCGAAATTTAACCTCAACCAGGTCAAGGTTCATATAGCCCCAGCGGACGGTGTTTGGCCTACTCTTCTAAGCTGGCCAGATCCCCTTAACGAAAGAGGTGGGAGCACCTACACTGTACCCCGCCACGAGCGATAGACTCAGTGTGGTCGCGTGTGTGTGTGGTGTACCCGGGTACACTGCAGGGTGTGGACAGAGGTGGAGAATTTAAGTGACATGTCCGTAGCTTCAACTGCAGCGCCGAGAGAATTAAACGAATCGGCGACCCTCTGGATTGCAATTCCAGCGTGCTGACCGCTACACCACGACCGTACGTTGCTACGCTGTAGCATAAATTTCACTCCTAATTCCATATTCCAACTGGTGCATGGTAATAAGTTGAAAGTTGCCCATCTGGAACTCTCATGTACGTAACGGTTAACATCTGGCCACCATGGGCTGGATGTTAACTACCTCAGCCTGGTATACTGGAGGTCGTGGGTTGGATCCAGACCCCAATGCCTGCTGTATATTTGTAGTTTGCATATCTCTCTCTCTCCCTTCCATGTAGATTTTTCTCCAGGTCCTCCGGTTTTTCTCTCCACATTTAGAATCAACGTGCATTTAGAGTATTTAACTGATAAACATTTCCACATGATAAGCCACTTCGTTGAGCTATCATGTGACCAGGTCGCTTTTGAAAAAGAAAATATATAGCTCAGTGGACCTTACCTGGTAAATAAAATAATGTACAACTGAGTTTAACAATTATCACTCCCGTGATACAAAAAGCCACGCTTCTCTCCGAATCCATAATATTAATTCATATTTTAAAATCCAAAAGCTAAAAAAATGTAATGTGTGCCCACCAAAATTATGACCCACAAGGGAGCGTGAATTGGTTATTTCAGTCAAATATAACCGAGTGGACGATAATCATCCAGCGTGACGATGACTAAGACTGCCCAACAATACTATCATCATCATCTACCCACCAATAACATCAATAGCACAAATACCATCGTCACCATCTACTCACCAATATCATCAGCATCATCTACCCAAAATCATCAGCATCCCACCATCATAATCATCAACTACCCACCATCATCATCATCATCCCACCATTAACCGTCATCTACTCACCAAAACCATCATTATCATCATCTCCCACCAATACCATCATCACCATCATCATCTACTCACCAATACCATCATTATCATCGTCTCCCACCAATACCATCATCACCATCATCATCTACCCACCCAAGACCAAACAGCGACCGATTGTAACGAGACGAAATTAAATAATTTCGATTTAAAGCTTTCGTGACTGCAGGGATTCATCTTCTTGGTTCTTTCGGTAAAGTCACGTAGAAGGGAAATAATAAAATGACTTTACCGAAAGAACCAAGAAGAGAAATTAAATGAGTTTGACTGAAGATAATTGGGTATCGTCTGGACTGCATGTGTGTGTGCTTATGAACCAGATTTACAGAGTTCTCCGAATGGCTAAGCCGATGATGATTACTGTATTCATAACTAAGGGCGGTTGTACTGAATCTCTGGCTTTCGTGAGTAGACGAAGCCCAAGAGAAGAAATGATGACCGTGTCAGCAAAGCCCCCAAAAAATTACTCCAAAAATAAAAACCTCAACGGACTGCAGTCAGATCGTGCCGAGACTAAAACAAAATGAGACCTACTACATTAAAGATCGAGTCAATGACCAAGAGGACTTGTCGACTACGTTTAATAAGATGCCTACCTAACGCTGAAATTCAACGAGGCAAGATTGCTTTGAATCACGAGCTAGCAAATTCTGGAAATTCACTGGGTCCCCCTCCCCCCCTTATTCATTTCACTCACACGAGCCAGTGCCGGAACCTCAAAGACAATGAATCACTCTTAAACTCTCTCTCTCGGCCATTAAATCATCATCACCATCATCACAATCCAGCCCCCCGTCGTCGTGAGTTAACCGAGTAATTCGCCCACCCCGCAGAAAGTTACGACAAACACAGCTTTAGGGCCCGCGAGGAGACAATGCCCACGAAATTGCTGCAAAGCAGTTCCAATTCCTCCCCCCGTTAGAACGGCCATATGGGATGGATGGATCATTTGGGCTCTAACGTAACAATGCTAAACAAGGGGGGGGGGGGACCCGTGCATTTTGCAATACAATTATTATAAAAAATCAAATACTCGGCTCGTATATTCGCGCAATGTCATTGCTAAACACATTTTTCTTTGTTAAATCGACTCTACAATAGAATTTCAGCGGGCGGACGGGCGGGCGGGCAGAGCCGGCCCATCCATGGGCCAGACGCTCCACCTCCCTCGGCCGGGCAATCTATCCGAGCACCGGTGAAGGCCGCAACCCTCGGTCCGGGGGTTGGTTGTAATCTGGCTCTCTCCCCCTCCTCTCCCCCCAACGTCGTCTTCGTTTTACCTGGGATCTGCACGTAGAGGGAGGCGAAGGCGAACAGGTAAATGGCGCCCATGCCCCACAGGAACATGTGCCTGGCGAGGTGAACCTCTCCCATCGTGAAGCGGTGGTGGCGGCGGTGGCGGCTGCGTTGCTTGACGGCGACGTGGCTTTCAAGAGCCTCCCCCTCCCCTCCTCTTCTTACCCCCCCCCCCGGAGGAAAAGAACGCGAAGTGAAAGACGCCCTGAGGGCAATTCGAGAGCGCCGAGCGGCAGTGGGGCGGGTGAGGCGAACCTGGGGCGAGGGTAGTGTTAGAGCCCCCAGGGCGAGTTTCTTACGCAGATGGTTCGTGCGGGCGGTTCGGCACGCCTCGGATTCAAATTACGTTCGGTCATTCATTCGTTTGTGGGTGCGTTTGGGATTTCTCGTTTGGTTGTGGGTTTGTTTGGGATTTATAGTTTGTTTGTGGGTCCGTTTGGGATTTCTCGTTCGTTTGTGGGTGCGTTTGGAATTTCTCGTTCGTTTGTGGGTGCGTTTGGGATTTATAGTTTGTTTGTGGGTGCGTTTGGGATTTCTAGTTTGTTTGTGGGTGCGTTTGGGATTTCTAGTTTATTTGTGGGTGCGTTTGGGATTTCTAGTTTGTTTGTGGGTGCGTTTGGGATTTCTAGTTTGTTTGTGGGTGCGTTTGGGATTTCTAGTTTATTTGTGGGTGCGTTTGGGATTTCTAGTTTGTTTGTGGGTGCGTTTGGGATTTCTAGTTCGTTTGTGGGGTTCGTATGGGATTTCTAGTTTATTTGTGGGTCCGTTTGGGATTTCTAGTTTATTTGTGGGTGCGTTTGGGATTTCTCGTTCGTTTGTGGGTGCGTTTGGGATTTATAGTTTGGTTGTGGGGTGCGTTTGGGATTTCTAGGTTATTTGTGGGTGCGTTTGGGATTTCTCGTTCGTTTATGGGTGCGTTTGGGATTTATAGTTTATTTGTGGGTGCGTTTGGGATTTTTCGTTTGTTTGTGGGTGCGTTTGGGATTTCTAGTTTATTTGTGGGTGCGTTTGGGATTTCTAGTTTGTTTGTGGGTGCGTTTGGGATTTCTAGTTTGGTTGTGGGGTGAGTTTGGGATTTCTCGTTTGTTTCATTTGTCTTCATCATTAGCTGTGGTCCATTAGCTTTATTGCCGGCGCATTGCCATAAATATTTGTGGTTTATTGACTGCGTTCGCGTGTGTATTATGGCCCAACATTCAATGGGGTTCATTAATCTCATTCCTTGTGCTTCTGTTATTCATTCATTGCGGTCCATTGACCTAATTCATTAATCAATACCTTCGTTAGTAAATTCATTCACGGAAAGATACGTGCAATATTGATTCATTGTTTGAATTCCATGATCGATTCCTGAATAATTGAATGACTTGTAAAATGATTTCTTCCATGAATAAACGAATTAATGCATTAGTGAGTGACTATCGATTAATTCGTGGATTAAATCATCGATTAAGTCACGGCTTAAGCTATCGCTTCATCATGACTGATTTTTAGTTCTATTAATTCAGACATGGATCGATTATTTTATGCATTCTGTATGTATACGATAATTATCATTTAAATGAAGAATTCGCTAATTTTATCACTCAATAACCATCAATTCAGCCTCTTGCGTATTAATTAAACTACACCATGAATGATCATTCATTCATTACAGTGTATTATTGGTGATTGTGTTCATTCAGTCTTTGACCGAATCCTCGGATATGCACCTAATCTCTTGCCAATATTAAACAATTTGGTGATGCTGCTGCTGATGATGATGCTTCTTTGGCAGCGGTAAAAAAAAGTAACAATACACAAAAATCCAACAGATGTGGCCTCAAAAGGAAAACGACATCATAGGCGACGTTTCAGGCAACGGCTCTTTTGTCATAGCACTTAAATCTACTGTAGTCTCATCGTACATTTGAAGAGCACAGACAAAGATCCCACGTATAGCCTCAGGCCGTTGGACCAGCTGCTATTAGCGAGTATCACCAATAAAGGCCGGAACGGCACACGGGGGTTACCAACACCGCACCTGGCCGCCTTTGTCTCCCCAGTGGCGATGATTACACGTCGCAATGATTTTAAGCGCTGAGTCGACCTAGGGGAGTGCCCGGAAACCGGTTCAGTGTAATCGTCACTGGTGTTGGCCGAGAGCGGGGATCGAACGCGGGCCCCAGCTGGGTTTCTTAGCGCAGGTCGCTGAGGGGCCGGCCATAAATGACGTCACGCACTTAGGGGGGGTGGGTCAGACATTTGTAACGATGTGTGACGTAGGGGGGGGGGGGTGAGAAATGTGACGTCACATCAATATGCGCAACTTTGAATAAATATAGACAACACGTTCTACTTAATCTTAATTTTGGAGCTTTCGTAAAATAATAAATTAAATAAAAGCATGCTTTTATTTAATTTATTCTTTTATCTTTATACGTGACTTTACCGAAAGAACCAAAGAAACGTTATACTTAATTAGACTTTTTTTTTATAAATGTTTTCTCCTACAACATCGGAGTGCAGCGCCACATTAAATACGCACTACAATGACAATAGTTGAAAGCGATTTGAAGCGTGTTTTTTTTCAAAATGGAAATATGGTTTTGGGGAGGGGGGGGCAGAGCTTTGTGACGTCATATTTGAGGAGGGGGGGGGTCTGACTTTTTGTGACGCCGTGTGACGAGGGGGGGGGGGGGTCAAAAATCGTCCAAAATCGCGTGACGTCATTTATGGACGGTCCCTGACCGCTACACCACCGCACCCCGCAATGGCAAACGATACGCGGTGGCAAAGCGGAAAGGCGTCGGTTTCATACACCAAAGATCCACGGGTTCGAATCCCGCCCGTGCCTTGATCGTGTTTTTTTTTTAACCATAAATTCTCGAATAACCTCCTACCCTTGTCCAGCATCAATCTCTGCTAAATGTCCGCTCAAGTGAATTCCTCTCTTAATAAACCATTATCACGGGCAAGAGAGCTCCATTAACACTCAGTGTATCGGTCAGACCCCACTGCCTCTCATCTCTCTCTCTCTGGATCTATCGCCTCTGGCTACGAGCACGTGGCTCAATCATCCTGCGCGCCATCAGCCCATTTGCTGAGCGTCGCTCCTCCGCCCTCCGTTGTTGCTGGAGGGCGACTGCCTCCAACTGCCCAGTAGCGTCCTTCACGAGCCTCCTCCTCCTCAACACAGAGGCCGATCTTGACACCGCTGGTACCAGTCATCAGCAAAGTCCACTCAGCTCCGTATCCTCCTGTACCGCATCACTCCATCTCTTCTCCAGCCCAGCCAGATTTGCTGTGACGGTCCCACCTGATGACGGAGACTTGTGTTGGGTTCCGAAACGTCGTGATTTTATTGTTTTATTTTTATTAAATTTTATTTCATTTTTTTACCTACATGGTGACTTTACCGAAATAACTAAAAGTATGAATCCTTGCAGTCACGAAATCTTCAAATCTAGAATTAAGCTATATAGTTAAATGGGCCTTACCTGGCAAAATAAATTAAAAATACTTTGTAGTTTTAAATAGTTTATAGTTAACTGTGGTCAAGCCGTTCACGCTTGTGGGTTGATAAGAGGTGGACGGAGGGGGGAGATTTAAGAAACTTGCATCATCGTTACAACTGCCGCGCCTGGAGATCGTGGCGAAATAAGTGACCTTTGTATAACAGATCCAGTGCGCTGACCACTACAATCACGGCTGTTAATATATTGCAATGTAATTTATACATAACGTGTATAACTTCGAGACGAACGAACGGTCCATTGCTCGCAATGTCGAAGCACCGCGTTGGGCTTGAATGTCAGGGCCAACGTCCCAGTAACGTCAGGGCCAACGTTCAATGTTTACTGGGAAACACGCCGACTAATAAGACCCTTCGTAATCGTTTGTGACTTTATTTCAAGTTGTTAACAAGAAGAAGAACAACAACAAAAAAATCAACGAGATGACATTGTTTGAATTCCCGGCTGATAATACCATCCATAAGCCCCCCCCCCAAAATAAATCATCGTTAATAATAATGATTAGTAGCAGTAGTAGCAGTCGTACATTTTGGTATAGGCGCCATCCATTCACGAATGCGCTCTGTATCACAGACGGGTATAGTCTGTCAGCAGCAGGGGGGGGGGGGAAGATGATGGGGTGATGTTACAATGTGGATTGAACCCAATTACTTATACTGTACATTTGTGAACAATAGATTTGTAGCTCATCGGATTCCTCCAGCATAAATAAATATTCTCACTTCTTACTTAAGATCGCAAAAACAATGTGCATCGTGCCAATCCTTGGCAACAACATTCAGCCCCAATATAGGATCATTATTTATTACAGAATCGTAACATTAATAATAAGATAAGTAACAATAGATTACCGTATTCTCCCGATTATAACGCACTCTTTCCCCCACCCGCCCCCCTCTGTAGAAGTCGCTACGAGGGAGACAAAGGCGGCCGGGCGTGGTGCTGGCCACCCACCCCCTCGTGTGCCTCAGTGCGGGCCTTCAAGAGGTGCCGCTCGCAAACAGCACTTGCCCCTAAAGTCCGTTAAAGGCTAGCCGGGGGATCTTTGTCTTTGAGACCAGATTTGTAGAACTTTATTGACACCCCCCCACCCCCCATAACATTGTTTTGGTCGGAGCATATTCTTCTTATCTGGAGAATACGGTAACATCTTAAAATAACAAAAAAAAATGTGAAATAGTAAAACGCATTAATAAATTACCCACTGTTCTACCCCTTTCCCCGTTGACGACGCATCTCCGATAGTTATGTACATCTCAGATTCGTCCCCTACAAATGCATTGTATTTGAAGGCATTGCCTTGTGTGTGTCCCCCACCCCCCCGTATTGTCCGCAGTAGAAACAGCCTCTGCGTCTCGCTGATCAATGTTCTCAGCCCTGCACTACAATACCTGAGAATAGGCGTCTACGTGAGGGAGGGGAGGGGGGGGCATACGGATACGATGCTCTCTCCAGTAAACGTGCAGTGCAAAGAAAAAAAACCCCGTCTGTACAAGGAATCAAGGTGCGAGAGGAAGGAAATGTTGGTTGGTCGGTATAGAAGTCGGGTCCGGCTGTACGGAAATTACGGTAAGCACAGTCGATTCACAGCTTGATTTCGAACGCACGTGTTGACGGAAAGGGGTTTTTGTCCACCAGTGTTTTGGTGGTGGTGGTGATAGTCGGATGGGAAATGCTTCAATTGCTTTTATTTGTGCCGAATCTGATGGTCGTTTGACCAAATGTTTAGTTTGTTTGTCCTTCAACCGCCGCCTCCCCCCTCCCCCCAGCTCGGCATCTCCAATTAGCACGGTTGGCTACGTACGGTGCGAAAGAAATTCAACACGTCTTTCCGCCAATGCATTCTTTTCACCACGCAGACCTCCAATTCATATGTTGGCGGAACAAAGGTTTACAGTTATATTTGGTGGGGGGGGGGGGTGGGGAGGGAGCGAAATAATGCGAAATTGCCATTTGCCACCAAATGTCTGCAGAAAGTACCTTTCCACCAAGACGTAATGTAATCAGGCAGCCCGATCCACATACATTGGCGGAAAAGTGAGTTCTGTCAATGAATGAGTCAGGCTCTCAACACGTCAAAGAGAGGCCCCGCTTCTGTCTCCCGAACTCGTGTGATTTTTTTTGATCAAATCCAACGAATATCCGGCGTTTGGGAAAAGAGAGACAAAGGCGGCTGAGCATGCACGCGGGTGCTGGCTACACCACCGCAGATCACTGCGCAGGCCTTGTGAGCGTGTACGCGTGAGTCTTAACAGAATGTACATATATATACACACACACGTGTAGCCTGTAGCTGGGTCCACAGCTGAGCGATCAATTGAACAACCCCAAATTGCTCCAGAAACCCGTAAAACTCAATCGCCCGCAACTGCTTTGACCACATCTGGCCGATTAGTTGCGGGGTAAGCACGTGGTGTCTGGGCGTGGCTACGATGTCTGGTCACGCCCACTGATGCATAGCCCCGCCCCTTCTCCGTGTAGCTCCACCCCTACCCAACCCAGCCTCCGCCAATGTGAAGATCGCAGCGACCAATCACAGCCCGCACACGTGGCCGTGATGAATAACGTCAGCAGGTCACTCGTTCACGTACGCGTACGTCATCGGATTTTCTTTCTATTCCGTTCTGATGACGTACTTCGACGCAACAGAACCGGAACAATAAAAAACCTCAAATAAAATAACTTTATAGCTACCGAGGCTCCCACGAGGCCATGCGGGGGAGGGCGCGTGGCACAGTTTTGACGCGAGCTATCGTAGAGTGCGGTCGTGTCGCTACATCTTCTTGGTTCTTTCGGTAAAGTCACGTAGAAGGGAAGTAATAAAATAATAAAAATAAAACATAATAAAATAATTCTCACGACGTTTCGGCCACAACGCAAGCAGCCGTCCTCAGGTGAAGACCAGGTCTGTCGGGGAGATATCGTCTGAATGAAACACCACCCTTCCAACCCAGCTTAAATATACGCTGCCAAGCTTGGTGGTGTTTCATTCAGACGCTGTCTCCCCGACAGACCTGGTCTTCACCTGAGCACGGCTGCTTGCGTTGTGGCCGAAACGTCGTGAAAATTATTTTATTATGTTTTATTATTTTACTACTTCCCTTCTACGTGACTTTACCGAAAGAACCAAGAAGATGAATCCCTGCAGTCACGAAAGCTTTAAATCGAAATATAACGTGTCGCTACAGTTCTCTGCGGTGAGTACGACGTCCTTAACGGTAACACTCTGCAACTTGCAGACGTCTCGGAGAGGGATTAACATTCCGCTTGTTTACCCAGGAAAGCCTCACTGGGATGCAGCCTGCATGCGTGGCACGGCAACTTATTTTTCTGGAGGGCGCCTCTGCCAAAGTTTCCCGCAATACAGGCAACTGAAGATGCATGCAACCGTGCAACCAAAGTTGTATGCAACCGATCGCTCAAGGTGTGGACCCGGCCATAAGGCAAAAGTGCAACGCAAGTTCGATAACAACGACAAGAACAAAGCCCTGTAACGTAACAAACACAAAAGTGCATACCGTATATTTCCCCCCCCCCCCCCAAACAAAGTTGGGGTGCAACTCCGTCGAAAAGCATCAGTAGTAGTTTTTTTTGTTTTGTCGTCCCGTCAAATTTGCATCCGCAAACAAATGCATCGTCATCATTATCAACAACGGCAGCGTTAGCAGCAAAAGATATCTGAAACGGCTCCTGCTAAGAGCGTCGCCGGATTTGACGACCGGCAAAGCGGCGGCTCATCCAAGTCGCCTGGCATTCATCTGGAAGAGTGAGAGATTATTGTTCGCGAGCGGCACTTTTGCGACGGGCTTACCGCGAAACCCACAGCAAGCACCGCGGCCTTTGAATAATTTCCTGCTTCGTGTAAAATATCCGTATAATATATTGTCGTATTTTTTTTTCCATTTTCATCTTTTTTACTTGAAATATGTCTGCTGTCTAACAGTGTACATCATTCTCAATAATTATTATAATAATTAATAAACACTACCCGTCCGCCCGCCGAGACTTAAAACCGAAGTAGTGCTATATTTGTGCATGTGACTCTTATGATCAATATTACATCGTTATTAGTAATGATGATGTCGTTATTATTAAGCGATCGTATGTTATATTTAAATATACTTATCGTTGATAGTTTCGTACACGCGCGCGAGCGGGTGCTGTTACCCCGGCATCTTTAACAACCCCGGTGGAGATAGAGGAGAGGACAAGTCTGGCCACGTGCTCCGCTAACGGCCTAAAAATACATTTACAGAAAGAAAGGAATCAAATGCGGCACCGTGTATGCCTCCGTCTCTCCGCGCAATCCGAGCGTTTAGTTTTTTTTTTTGCCGACGTCCGCACGGCACCCTCTGGGAGCGCGTCGTTTGAGCCGCACCGCGACATCTTCCCACGCCGCCCACGAGGATTATACTCGAGCGCGAATATTTGGCTGCTGCTGTTACAAATAAAGATTTCGCACGCGATGGCACGAGCCCCCCTCCACTTGTCGTCGAGCCGTCGTTTTTTGTTTCGATGGGTCAAGAAAAAAAAAGAGAGAGACGCGGCTCAGCGGGGGGCTTACGCGGTAAAATAGAAAGAAAAACAATTGTGGCGGTTAAATTTCGATTTAAAGCTTTCGTGACTGCAGGGATTCATCTTCTTGGTTCTGTCGGTAAAGTCACGTAGAAGGGAAATAATAAAGTAATAAAACATAATAAAATACAATTCTCACGACGTTTCGGCCACAACGCAAGCAGCCGTCCTCAGGTGAAGAACAGGTCTGTCGGAAAGACAGCCCTGTTCAAGCTTGGTGGTGTTCATTCAGACGCTGTCTTTCCGACAGACCTGTTCTTCACCTGAGGACGGCTGCTTGCGTTGTGGCCGAAACGTCGTGAGAATTGTATTTTATTATGTTTAATTATTTTTATTTTATTATTTCCCTTCTACGTGACTTTACCGAAAGAACCAAGAAGATGAATTGTGACAGTAGTTAATAGTTGAAGAAAGAGCTTAAACAGTGTAAGAAATGTACGTATTTATTTTGATGCGCGGTAGGAGGCGTATCGTTCGATTAAATTATTTATCCTCAATTATTTTCTCATTCCTAGGTTTTTTCAGTAAAGTCACGTAGGTAAAAATGTAAAAAAATATTTTTTTATTTTTTAGCTACGTGACTTTACCGGTAAAGAAAGTCAAGTAGGTAAAAAAAAATTTTATTTTTTATTTTTTACCTACGTAACTTTACCGAAAAAACCTAAGAATATGAATCCTTGCAGTCGCGAAAGCTTCAAATCTAGAATTATTTTCTCGGCAACCAACGGCGATGATGATTTGGAGTCGTTGACCGAAGCAGCTTCGCCGCTCTGTAACCGGAGTAGAAACCGATGAAACGTGAGCGGCGCCGTGTTCTCGCATCCGGTGAGCACGCCGGCTGGCGCCGTCGTCGCTGCTGCAGACCTGGGTTCACAACCAAGTCCAGGCTGCTCCTGGGGCAGGCCGAGTTGATGGTCCGAGACCGAGCGGCGAGAGAGGTCCCAATTGACGATTACGAAATAGCCGCCCCCGACGAGACAAACTTGGACAAATTCTCGAGGGACGGTGGTGGTTCCGAGTGGGGGGGCGGGGGGGGCGGGGGGGAGGCCCAGGGCGGTGAATTCAAAAACGCGGAGCCGGCAATACTGAGCAGCTGGGATTGCAGCGGTGAGTTTGGCGTTGACGGTGCGGGGGGGGGGGACGCATGGCACGGCGTTGCGCCCCCCCCCCCCCCCCCCACTGCAGCCGTGCCATTTGGTTCGGCCTTTGCTGTCGCCAGGGGGACGTCGCAGCGTGTTGAAGGCACACGCTGGACAGGGCGACGACGCGCGGAGACGCACGGACGGACGGACACACGGGGAGACTGGGCTGCGTTCGAATGCCCCCGCACGCCTCTGTGGTTCCGGCAACTGACGTGCGAACGGACCGGGTTACGCCGCACGGGCGCATGCTCACTGTGGGGGCAGTGCGGGGGATGAGTCGTACGGACGGAGATCCATCCGCGTGGGCCGTGTTTGTTTGGATGGCTGAGTATCCTCTGGGTGTCTTGAGTGGCTGGTGGATTTGGCTCGGTTCTGGGTAGCTCTCGGGGTGACTGTCTGGCAGGCTGGCTGGCTGGCTGGCTGGCCGGCCGGTTGGCTTGGTGCCTGGGTGGGTGAGTGAATGGTCGGTCAACCAGAAAGCCGGGTGGTTGGCTGATTGTCTGTCTGGTTGGGTGATTGTCTATCTGGGTGAGCGATTGGCTGGGTGAGTGTGGGATTGGATGAGTGCCTATCTGAGTGTCTGTCGAGTGCCTATCTGAGTGTCTGAATGAGTGTCTGGCTCAGTGCATGGCTGAGTATCTGACCGAGTGTCTGTCTGCCTGAGTGTGTGACTGAGTGTCTGTCTGCCTGAGTGTCTCTCCGGCTGAGTAGCGTGGCCGCCCTTTGGCAGCAGCAGCAGCAGCAGTCCACTCCGCGTGGCCCTCCTCACGCCCTCTTGGCCGGTGTGGCCGGGGTCTGTGCCACAGCACCACTGCCAGCACCACTACCGCCACCACCGCCAGCACCACCACCACCACCACCGCCGCCACCACCACCGCCGCCACCACCGCCACCACCGCCACCACCGCTGCCGCCGCCACCGTACGAGGTGGAGCAGTGCGGCCCCTCGGCGCCTCCGAGCGCCCCCCCCTCCAACTCCTCCCCTCCGTCATCGCCGCCGCCGCCGACAGCACCCCCGCAGCTCGAACTGCTGCCTCCGTTGTTGTCGGCGTGAGAGCGCCGGGGTTGTTGTTGTTGGTGGTGGTGGTGCACCGGCGTCCCCCCCGTGCCCGGAGCGCCCCGGCCATTGCTCCGCTCATCTACGGTGGGGGGAGCGGGAGAGGGGAGGGGGAGGAGTGTTGTTTTAACAATTAGTGTTGTTATAACAATCCTATATTTATTTAAAGTTGCGCATTTTGATGCGACGCCACATTTCTCAACACCCCCCCCCCCGTCACACATCGTCACAAATGTCTGACCCCACCCCCCCCCCCCCAGGTGCGTGACGTCATTTATGGACGGCCCCACAGCAATAAAGGATTTTTGATTTTTTAACCAGCGCATCGGCCGGAGGTGACGTCGCTCCCCGCCCACTCACCGCTCAGCTGCTGCACGCACGGCTGGTCGTGGGAGTGGACCAGCTGCGCCTGGATCACCTCCACCACCTTGCGGAACCTCCGGTTGGGTCCTGCGTGGCCACACGGGGGGGTGGGGGGCGAAGGGTGATGCCCACGCGGCAGACGAACCCCCGAGCTCCCACGACGTTTACTGGTATCTGCGAGTCGGCAGGAGGCGTTGGTGACATCAGGCATGCGTGGGGGCGATGTCCGAAGTCGGGTGTACGACATAGTTTCTTGCATCTACGAGAAGTGCGTGGTTCTCCGTTGGCTTGAGCGGCGCGTGTGTGCTTCCGTATGGTATGTACGTTGAATTTCTTTCGCACCGGGGGGAAGGACAACAGACTAAACACTGAGATCAGTTCTAAAGGAATGAGTTTGTCGATCTAGATGAAGATTTAAAGGTGCACAACTCCAGTGGCTTGCTAATATCGGAAGGGAAGAGCGTTCCAGACGGCCGCAGAAGCGCATCCGAAAGCACCGCGCGGCGATGCGGTGACCGCCACCGCCTTCGTGCGACGGCTCAGCTCAAAGCCGCCGCTGCTGTAGCTGCTGCGTGTTGATGGTTTACGCCCCTTGACGAGATCAGCAAGGTATCGTGCCCAGAGGTCGCAAACGGGTATCGGGTACCCGATTGCGACCTCTGGGATGAAGCCATGTTGCAGGCGCGGGTGGGTTGAGTCTAGGAACTTGAATTGTGAGAAGAGACAAGACGTTGAGAAATGAGTGACAAACGGTTACTCACCAGTGACTCACGGCCTACCCGTACCCGTACCCGGCCGCACCAGGGTTGCAAACGGGTACGTACCATACGGAAGCGCACCAGGGTTGCAAACGGGTACCCGTACCCGTACCCGGCCGGTACGGGTACGGGTAGCCGGGTATCGGGTAGGGTACGGGTATCGGGTACCCGGTTGCGACCTCTGATCGTGCCGCATTGGGGGCAAGCGCTCTGTGGACAATGAACGCGACCTTTCACCGTTCTCATGCGCCCGTTCTATGTTCGGCACGCGGAAGGGCGACGCTGCAAACGGGATAAACGGTGGTCTTCGTGGAAATCACGGGGTAGCCGCCCAAGGGAAATGGATTGGATGGAGCTGCCCATCACTGTGTAGATTTGTATAAGGGGCAAAGGCTTGGGATGGGGGTCAGAGTTCACCTGAGATGAGGGTAAAGGTCACGGAGTAAATTCCCTCCTTGTGGCCAGACCCTCCGCCGGCGAAGGTGATGTCAACCTGTAGCAAAGACAAAGATCCCCCGTGCAGCCTCATCAGCCTGCTGGGGCAAGTGCTGCTAGCGAACAGCTATGAAGGCCGGAACGACACGCGATAGGGTGGTGTGGCTAGCACCACGCCCGGCCACCTTTTTCTCCCCAGTGGCGATGTTTGAGCACCAGACCAGATGCTCATTTGAGGCTGAGTCGACCTAGGGGATGCCCGGGACCGATTAAAATATTCATCACTGGCATGTATTCATCACACTCACCCACTCTCTAACTCGCTCAGCCACCCACTCAGCACACTGCAGATCACCTCACTGCTCCACTTTGTAATTCACTCTCCCAACATCGTCATCGTCGACTCTCTAGCCCCGAGCTCTTACGTTAACAACAACAACAATACAACCACCTCGCCCAATTAGCACGTTACATTTTTTTTACTTTAAACTTTCGTGACTGCAGTGGGTGGGGGGGTGGCACGTGGACTAACACATGGGATGGCCTTTTTATTTATTTTGTACAATAATGTATTACATTGATCTGTTTTTACTTTTTTTTACCTTTTCTTGTTTCATTGTATGTAATGGCAGAGATTAGGGATTAATAAAGTACAACCATACCCACAATCATATGAACAGAAATCTACGCGTTGATTTATATGAAGAAAAGTCCAGATATTGTGGCCAAGATTTAGCAAATTGTTGTTTTATTTACATAGCATAGCAATTTTTTTTATAGCAATATATTGAGGGGTGGACATTTTGAGCATATTTGACACGCTCACTCACACTCGTTCACTCGCGGTGGGGTGGGAGAGGGCTGGGAGGGTGGGGGGGAGGGGCTAGGGAGGGTGGGGGTGGGGGTGGAGGGGGTGTAGGGGGGTGGGGGGGGGTGGATCAGACGTTTGAGTGCCGCCCCTTTCACCTGGAACTTGACCGGCTTCTGGAAGACGACGGGGCTTCCCGTGCACTTGTACTCGGCGCGGAAGCTCGCCTGTGACACCACGCTGTGGCTCAGGCTGGGGATCTGCGGCACAAAGACAAAGATGCCCCGTGTAGCCTTAAGCGACTGTTGGGGCAAGTGCTGTTAGAGGGTAGCAGCACCCGCGAAGGCCGGCGCACGAGGCGGTGGGGGGGGAAAGAGCCATGCTCGCTCGCACTCGCTCGCTCACCCACGTGCTCACTCACACTCGCTCACTCACACTCACTCACCCACCCACTCGCTCACCCACTCGCTCACTCACACTCACTCACCCACACGCTCACCCACACGCTCGCTCACTCGCTCACCCACACTCGCTCACTCACACGCTCACCCACACGCTCACTCACGCGCTCACTCACACTCGCTCACTCACACGCTCACTCACCCAAACACTCACCTACACGCTCACTCACACTCACTCACTCACCCACTCGCTCACACACACTCGCTCACTCGCCCACCCATGTGCTCACACACACGCTCACTCACACTCACTCGCTCACCCACGCGCTTACTCACACTCGCTCACCCACGCGCTCACTCACACTCGCTCACCCACACGCTTACTCACTCGCCCACCCGTGTGCTCACACACACTCTCCTCACTCACACTCGCTCACCCACGCGCTCACTCACACTCGCTCACCCACACGCTCACTCGGAGTTGGGGAGGAGGGGGCTGGGGGGGTGGAGGGGCTAGGGAGGGTGTGGGGGGGTGGAGGGGGGTGGGGTTGAGGGTGTAGGGGGGTGGAGGGGGCTAGAGGGTGGGGGAGGAGGGGCTAGGGGGGTGTGGGGGGGGGGTGGAGGGGGTGGGGGTGAGGGTGCAGGGGGGTGGGGGTGGAGTTGGAGGGGGGTGTGGGGGTGGAGGGTGGGGGGGGCCCTCACAGACAGGAAGGCGTGCACGAGGTCGGCCTTGATGGAGCTGATGGGTTTGTCCCGCACCACCACTAGGACCTGCTCCTCCCGCTCGGCGCCGATGAAATTACCGAACCACGAGCGCTTGGCCAGCCTGCGGCGACACCGCGGACCACCACGACCACCACGACAACCACGACAACAACAACCACGACCACGAGAATCAAGTAGGATCACAGCAGCAGCAGCAGCAACACGACTCGCTACATAATGGAGGTTTTGTTGGCTTAGATCGCGTATAAATATATAAACGTGTCGTGAAACCCGCCACCAGCCGACAAAGCCAACTAGTAGAGGTTTGTCAAGGAAACAGAACGTGGCCAATTCACCGGTTGCGTGTTGGAGAGTAAAGCCACGACATTGATCAAATCTGAGTACGACGTTTCGCCAGTAATTACAACAGGCACCATCAGGTGACAGCCAGAGTTTATTGGAGAAGTCCACCATGTTTCGTTCCTTAAATAGAGGCATGGGTCTGATGACGCCAGCTCGTGCGCTAACCTTGCGTGAAGTCTTAGACGACTCACTACCTTCACCACTGGAATCTCATTTGCCAGTAAAAAGTATGATAATTGGTTTTTTTACCCTTCTATCTGGCAACAAAACTGACACCTTTTTTTACAAGGAGTCATGTTTGCATAGACCACAATACCTGCCTTTTGGCGTCATCTGGTCCAACCCATGTGAGACTAGGCTCTAAGGAAAGCTGTCTCGGGTGTGGACCAATCAACTTCAAGGACAGTGCACATTATCAAAGTTATGTTTTTTGTTTGCATTATGACTGCAGACTCACTACCTTGTCCACCTCCCCTTCTAACCTCCCCCCCCTCCTCTCCGCACCGACCAGCTGGGCCAAGGTCACTTCCGGGCATCGCTTCATCGATTTATCGGAGACACTGAAATGCACCACGCCTGCTTCCCCCCTGGCTTTTGAGCGACAAGTTGAGGCTTGGTGAAGTCCAGGGGTGGGTGCTTCAAGAAACACTCGTGGGAATTTGCAACGACAACGCCGCAAGAAATGTGCTGCCCTCCGAGCTCTGGAGACCACCTGGAGAAGATTCCAGGCGCGCGTTGACAACGATGGCGAACAAGTGGGAGACTCGTTGACTTTTTGAAACTAATTAACATTTACATTTGGTATCGTGTCACAGTGTTCTATTATCCGTTCTTTTTCCATATGAGTGTTAAAACATTTTTTAAGCGCCCTGCATTGAACACTGAGCGGCGGTGACGTCACAACGGCGCTCGTGCCAGGCTAGGTGCACTTTTGAGGCCGTCACCTGAAAGTGTGAAGGATTTTGCCACTGGCAGGAGGAGGTCACGGGGCAGACCCCGGGTGTTAAGGGTTTAGTTGACCGAGACGAATGACAGGTCCACACGCGCACACATGCACGCACGCACACGCGTGTACACACACACACCTAAACAAGGCACACACAGACATACGCGGACAGACACAGACATGCAGACAGGCACACAAAGGACAACGAAGACAAAGACTCCCCGTGTAGCCTTAACAGACTGTTGGGGCAAGTGCTGTTTAGCGAGCACCACGCCCGACCGCCTTTGTCTCCCCAGTGGCAATGTTTACACATCACACCAGGTACTCATTTGAGGCCGAGTCGACCGAGGGGAGGCCCAGGACCGTGTTCAGATAATCGTCACCGGTGTTGGCCGTGAGCGGGAATCGAACTCGGGCCGCTGAATTCCATAGTGCGGTACGCTAACCGCTGTGCCACCGCTCCCCACGTACACACACGTGACACACAGACACGTGACACAAACACGTGACACACACACGACACACAATGTGCTTTGGGAGCGACACTCACTCGGGCGAGGAGTCCGGGGTGAGGCCTGACATCTCTTCCTGCGTGGGAACTGTGGGGACACGCGGCGCAATCACATCGCAACCGCCGCAACCGCCGCAACCGCCGCAACCACCGCAGCCACCGCAGCCACCGCAGCCACCGCAACCACCGCAACCACCCACTAAGTAACCCACTCACTCAACCATCAAGTCACCCATCCACTCACTGAACCACTATCCCACTGACTCAACCACCCACTCACCCACCACCCACCACCCACCCAAAACCGCCCACCCACCCGCGCGCCCACCCACTCACCTACATGCCCACCCACCCGCCCACCCACTCACCTACCTGCCCACCCACCCGCCCGGCCACCCACTCACCTACCTGCCCACCCACCCGCCAAGCCACTCGCCCACCGAACTCGTCCACCGAACTCGCCGCCCGCCCACCTTGCAGCTTCCTGCGGTGGAAGCGCGGCGATCCCAGGAAGGTGTGCTTGAACGAGTGCAGCCGGTTCCTCCAGAGCGCCCCTCCGCCCCCGCCGGCGCCCACGCTGGGGCTAGAGGGGGGGGTGTTGGCCGGGGACAGCGCCTGCAGGGGGCTGTCGGAGCCTCCGCCGCCGCAGCCGCCCCCGCCGCCGGCGGCGGCGAGCGCCGGCTGGCCGTGCGGAGTCAGCGGCGCGTGCGCCGGGCTCCCCGGGGAGGGCAGCAGCGTCACCTGCGGCAACACAAACCGCGGGATGACGCCGGCGGAGAAGGCCGCTCCGCCGCCGCCGGCTGCCGCGGCGGCGGCCGAGGCTTTCTTGCGGCCTAGCGGCGGCAGGGAGAGACGCAGCGGGGGGCCCCGCGTCCCTTCGACGGAGGATGAGGATGAGGAGGAGGCGTCGCGTGACGAGCCGGGGGGCCCCGTCCTGGCGCCGGGGCCCCCGACGATTGGAGGAGCCGAGGAGGGCCCGGATGACGACGAGGGGCGGGTGGAGGTCGTGGTGGTGGTGGTGGTGCTGGCGGCGCTGGCGGGAGACGCCGGAGGGGATTCGCCGTTGACGTCCGGCTCGGAGAGGCTCTGAGATTTCTCCCAAATGTCGGGGGACAGGTGGGGTTTCCAGAAGGGCTGGGACCGAGGTAAAAGCAGCGGTGGCGGTGTTGAGGTTTTTTTTGGGGGGGGAGAGGGGATTTGTTTTGTCGGTGCCGGGGGGGGGGGGGTCAGGGTTAAGGAGGTCAAGGGGTTCGGCGTGCGTCCGTGCGTGGTAAGTGCGCCGGCCGGCGGAGGGGAGGAGAAAAAAAAAACGATTTGAATGCATTCCAGGGTGGCGTGGTAGGAAAGTGCGGTCAGAATCGGGACCAAATGAATGGGGGAGGGGGGGGAGAGAAAGTGGCAAACGGGTGGACAGACGGGGGGTGGGGGGGGGGGTTGGTGAAGCACAGCGCGTGGGGTTTGTTTGGTGGTAAATTAAGCGGAACAATACAGGAGGAGGAACGGAGGAGGAGGAGGAATGGGAGACATGGAGAGTGAGGTTAGATCCATGGAGCGCGCCGATGGGATAATAAGAATAATAAAAAATGAAACGTGGAGATGGACTCCCGGCACCACACGAAGGTTCCCGGGGTCACGCGACGCCGACCTTCTCCGGCGGAAATTCCACGTTGCTCGGACAGGTTCATCGGTAACACACGCGCCACCATAGACTCAGCACCACCCCATAGACTCAACACTGCCCCATAGACTCAATACTGCACCATAGACTCAACGCTCCACCATAGACTCAACACCGTCCCATAGACTCAGCACTGCACCAAAGACTCAACACTGCACCATAGACTCAACACTGCACCAAAGACTCAACACTGCACCATAGACTCAACACTGGCCCATAGACTCAACACTGCACCATAGACTCAACACTGCACCATAGACTCAACACTGCACCATAGACTCAACACTGCACTATAGACTCAACACTGCACCATAGACTCAACATTGCACCATAGACTCAGCACTGCACCAGACTCAACACTGCACCATAGACTCAACACTGCACCATAGACTCAACACTGTACCATAGACTCAACACTGGCCCATAGACTCAACACTGCACCATAGACTCAACACTGCACCATAGACTCACCACTGCACCATAGACTCAACACTGGCCCATAGACTCAACACTGCACCATAGACTCAACACTGCACCATAGACTCAACACTGCACCATAGACTCAACACTGCACCATAGACTCAACATTGCACCATAGACTCAGCACTGCACCAGACTCAACACTGCACCATAGACTCAACACTGCCCGTAGACTCAACACTGCACCATAGACTCAACACTGCACCATAGGCTCAACACTCACCATAGACTCAACACTGCCCATAGACTCAACACTGCACCATAGACTCAACACTGCCCATAGACTCAACACTGCACCATAGACTCAACACTGCACCATAGATTCAACATTGCACCATAGACTCAACACTGCACCATAGACGCAACACTGCACCATAGACTCAACACTGCCCATAGACTCAACACTGCACCATAGACTCACCACTGCACCATAGACTCAACACTGCACCATAGACTCAACACTGCACCATAGACTCAACACTGCACCATAGACTCAACACTGCACCATAGACTCAACACTGCACCATAGACTCAACATTGCACCATAGACTCAGCACTGCACCAGACTCAACACTGCACCATAGACTCAACACTGCCCGTAGACTCAACACTGCACCATAGACTCAACACTGCACCATAGGCTCAACACTCACCATAGACTCAACACTGCCCATAGACTCAACACTGCACCATAGACTGAACACTGCCCATAGACTCAACACTGCACCATAGACTCAACACTGCACCATAGATTCAACATTGCACCATAGACTCAACACTGCACCATAGACGCAACACTGCACCATAGACTCAACACTGCCCATAGACTCAACACTCCACCATAGACTCAACACTGCACCATAGACTCAACACTGCACCATAGACTCAACACTGCCCATAGACTCAACACTCCACCATAGACTCAACACTGCACCATAGACTCAACACTGCACCATAGACTCAACACTGCCCATTGACTCAACACTGCACCATAGACTCAACACTACCCATATACTCAACACTACCCATAGACTCAACACTGCACCATAGACTCAACACTGCCCATAGACTCAACACTGCACCATAGACTCAACACTACCCATAGACTCAACACTGCACCATAGACTCAACACTGCCCCATAGACTCAACACTGCACCATAGACTCAACACTACCCATAGACTCAACACTGCACCATAGACTCAACACTGCCCCATAGACTCAACACTGCACCATAGACTCAACACTACCCGTAGACTCAACACTGCCCCAGTACATGAAGCAGTCCCCCTCCTTAACCTCGTTCCGTTCCTCTCTCAAAGCCTCACCACCTCTTCTCCATCATCGCCCACTCTCCCTCCTCATCCCTCCCCTCGCCCCTCCACTCCTTCCCTGCCCTCCCCCACCCTCACCCAACCCCTTTGCACGGCGCTGCCATCAAAAGAATTCTGGTAATTGTACCAGTTATTTTAACTACGTTACAAAGGGGCTCTATAAATATAAAATAAGAGAACGACGCCAATTATTTTATGGAAATAATTTTGACTTCGCTGGACGGAGGGAGCTCTGGGTTTACTCTCCAACACACCGGTGGTGCTGAACTCGTAACGAATTGGCACGTTCTGTTTACGTGACAACCCCTTACTGATCGCCTGTGTCGGCTGGTGGCGGTTTAAGCGGCACTTTAATATTCACGCGATCTAACCCCCCAAAAAAAGCCTCTATAACCGAGCTCCCTCCAGAAACAATAATATATTTATTTATTCTTTGGCGTTCGTCCGGCTGACTCCGCGCGGAGCTTTACCTTGGGACTGCTGATGGGACTGGAGGCCAAACACGAGGAGGCTCCACTCACGGAGCGAGACCTGCCGACGAGAAACGCGCGCACACGCACACAAAGTCACAGATGCCCCCCACCCCAGTATAGCCTCACAACAGAGTGTCGGGGCAAGTGCCATGACCTCCTGCATACCAGGCGAGGGAGTTAACATCTCCTAGCCACCACGGGCACCCGACCCGTCCCTACGTGGTGCCACAGTAGTGGCTAAGCACCGCTACACGTGGCGCTCATGACGCCGGGTGGCAGAGGGCCCTCACAACGACAACACAACTCTGGGCACCGGGTTCCGTTCGTTCCAACGTCGGGCGTGACGACGACACCAGAGAGCGAGAGAACGAGAGAGAGCGAGAAAGCTAGAGAGAGAGATCAAGAGCAAGAGAGAGAGAGCAAGAGAGAAAGCAGAGCATGAAATCTATTGTAAAATCTTTCATTTAAAAAGGGGGGGGGGGTTACATAAAGCAAAGCATAAAAAAAACGAAATGATGAACGAAGCAAAGTGCCATCTCCACCGAACATCTTCTTGTTTCCTCTGATCATAAAAAAGAGAGAGAAAGTGAAAGAGTGAGAGAGAGTGAGAGTCGGAGGCCGTCGGACTGCGAGAAGGGCTGCGTGCATAACGAGAGAGAGCGAGAGAGTGAGCGAGAGAGTGAGCGAGAGAGTGAGCGAGAGAGTGAGCGAGAGAGTGAGCGAGAGAGTGAGCGAAAGGTGGGGGTTTTTCATAAAACGAAGTTAAAAAATGTAAAAAAAAAAATTTTACTAAATGATGAACGAAGCAAAGTGCCGACTACACCGAGCATCTTCTTGTTTCCTCTGATCGTAAAAAAAGAGCGAGAGAGAGTGAGAGCGAGAGAGCGAGAGATAGAGCGAGAGAGAGAGAGAAAGCGAGATAGAGCGAGAGAGAGAGTGAGAGAGCGAGAGATAGAGCGAGAGAGAGAGTGAGAGCGAGAGAGCGAGAGATAGAGCGAGAGAGAGAGACAGCGAGATAGAGCGAGAGAGAGAATGAGAGAGAGAGAGACAGCGAGATAGAGCGAGAGAGAGAGTGAGAGCGAGAGAGACAGCGAGATAGAGCGAGAGAGAGAGTGAGAGCGAGAGAGCGAGAGATAGAGCGAGAGAGCGAGACAGCGAGAGAGAGAGCGAGAGAGCGAGAGAGAGAGAGAGTGAGCGAGAGAGCGAGGGAAAGAGAGAGCGAGCGAGAGAGAGCGCGAGAGAGTGAGAGAGCGAGAGAGCGAGAGAAAGCGAGAGAGTGAGAGAGAGAGTGAGCGAGAGAGAGCGCGAGAGAGCGAGAGAGAGAGCGAAAGAGAGCAAGAGAGAGCGAGCGAGAGTGAGAGCAAGAGAGAGCGAGCTGCACCTCTGCCCGTGCTGCGCCATCTGCAGGGCGCGCCGTGCCGTCACGGGCGAGCCGTCGCGCTCCGTCACGCTCAGCACCTCCATGGACTTCTGCTCGGGACGCCACTTGCCCTGGCGGTGCAGCAGCAGCGAGTCGACCCGCTTGCGCGGGGGGTCTCCAGGCGGCGCGCAGACGACACGGAGACACGGCGGACGCGCTCAGACACGCGGAGACGACACGGGGACGACACGGGGACGACACGGAGACGACACGGAGACACGGGCGCGCTCAGAGACGCGGAGACACCACGGGGAGACACAGACGCAGAGACACAAACACGGAGATGTGGATAGAGGCAACAGAGACACGCTCAGAGACACAGAGACACGGAGACACGGGGACGACACGGAGACACGACGGACGCGCTCAGACACGCGGAGACACCACGGGGAGACACAGATGGAGAGACACAAACATGGAGATGTGGATAGAGACAAGGAGACACGGAGACACAGACAATGAAACGGAGACGTGGATACAGAGACACGGGCACAGAGACACAGACATGGAGATGTGGATAGAGACACAAAGACACGCTCAGAGACACAGAGATGCGGAGACACCATGGGGAAACACAGACGTAGAGACACAAACATGGAGATGTGGACACAGAGACACGGACACGCTCAAGAGACGTAGAGACAGAGACACGGAGACATGGACACAGAGACGTAGAAACATTGAGACTCAGAGGTTGAGACTCTGAGACACAGTAAATGTTCGTGATCGAGTCGGAGTGAGCGAGTGTGAGCGAGCGAGTGAGTGCGAGCAAGTGTGAGCGAGCGTGAGTTAGTGAGCATGAGCGAGCGAGTGTGAGCGAGCCTGCGTTAGCGAGTGTTAGCGGGCGAGTGTGAGCGAGCGTGAGTCAGCGATTGTAAGCGAGTGAGCGAGAGCTAGCGAGCGTGAATTAGCGAGTGTGAGTTGGCGAGCGTGAGCTGGTGAGTGAGTTAGCGAGCGAACGAGTGAGCGAGTGTTAGCGAGTGTGAGCGAGCGAGGGCGAGCGAGTGCGAGCGAGTGTGAGCGAGCGTGAGTGGGCGAGCGTGAGTTGGCGAGCGAGTGTGAGCTAGCGAGTGAGCGAGCGTGCTGCTGGTACCGATCTCGTTGCGCTGGGGGAGGTTCTCGTCCTCCTGGCTGGGGTAGCGCTCCTTGCGGTCGAGAAGCAGGAAGTAGATCATCTTCTCCTGGTTTTCCCTGCACCAGCGGTAGCACGCGCAGCGCATGCAGCTGGCAGCAGCACACGCAACACACGCAGCGCATGCAGCGGCAGCACACGTAGCACCCGTGAGTTCCCGCTAGCATCTGCTAGCACCAGTGGGTGACCCGCTAGAATCCGCTAGCGCCCGTGAGTGACCCGCTAGTACCCACGAGTGCCCGTGAGTGACCCGCTAGTGCCCGCTAGCACCAATGAGTGACCCGCTAGTGCCCGCTAGCGCCAGTGAGCGCTAGTGCTCGTGAGTGACCCGCTAGAATCCGCTAGTGCCAATAAGTGACCCGCTAGAATCCGCTAAAGCCCGTGAGTAACCCGCTAGTGCCCGCTAGCGCCAGTGAGCGCTAGTGCCCGCGAGTGACCCGCTAGAATCCGCTAGAGCCCGCGAGTGACCCGCTAGAATCCGCTAGAGCCCGCGAGTGACCCGCTAGAGCCAGTGAGCGCTATAGCCTGTGAGTGCCAATGAGTGACCCGTTAGAATCCGCTCGAGGCCGTGAGTGACTCGCTAGTTCCCGCTAGCGCCAGTGAGCGCTAGCACCAGTGAGTGACCCACTAGTGCCGGCGAGTGACCCGCTAGAGCCCGCGAGTGCCGGCGAGTGACCCGCTAGAGCCCGCGAGTGCCGGCGAGTGACCCGCTAGTGCCCGCGAGTGCCGGTGCGGGCGCTCACTGCGCGCACAGCAGGTCGTGCGTGAGCTTGTCGCGGTCACGGAAGCAGCCCAGCGAGTGCATGCAGTCCAGGACGTCCGGGTCCAGCGCCTCGGCGCCGGCGCCGCGAAGCGCCGCCGCACTCAGCGCCACGCGGCGCGGGGCCGGCCGCTCGGGCTCCGGCTCGTTCTTGATGCCCCTGCCGCAACAACGACACCACCAACGACAACGACAACAACAACAACGATCAGCAACAACACCAACAACAACACCAACGACAACAAATGGTCAACAACAGCACCAACGACAACCGATCGACAACAACACCACCAACAACGACACCACCAACGACAACAACGACACCCCCAACGACACCACCAACGACAACAACGACACCACCAACGACACCACCAACAACAACAACGAACGATCAGCAATAACACCAACGATAACACCAACGACAACCAATCGACAACAACACCACCAACAACGATCAATAACAACAACAAACGATCAACAACAACAAACGATAAAACAAACAAAATAACAACACAAACAACAAACTATAATTGTTATAATTATTTTTAAATGGGTTGTGTCCCTTGGTGGGGAATGGCACTGCATGACGCGCGTGTGCGCGTGGAGGAGTGTGTGTGTATCAGTGTGTGTCAGTGTGTGTGTGTCAGTGTGTGTCAGTGTGTGTGTATCAGTGTGTGTCAGTGTGTGTGTGTCAGTGTGTGTGTCTGTGTGTGTCAGTGTGTGTGTATCAGTGTGTGTCAGTGTATGTGTATCAGTGCGTGTCAGTGTGTGTGTATCAGTGTGTGTCAGTGTGTGTGTCTGTGTGTGTCAGTGTGTGTGTATCAGTGTGTGTCAGTGTGTGTGTGTGTCAGTGTGTGTGTCTGTGCGTGTCAGTGTGTGTGTGTGTCAGTGTGTGTGTGTGTCAGTGTGTGTTTCAGTGTGTGTGTCAGTGTGTATGTGGGGAGTGGGGAGCGGTGGTGTAGCGGTTAGCGCGCTGCGCTACGAACCTGGAGACCCGGGTTCGATTCCCGCTCACGGCCAACACCGTTGACGGTTATTTGAACCGGTCCTGGGCCTCCCCTAGGTCGACTCAGCCTTAAATGAGTACCTGGTGCGATGTGTAAACATCGCCACTGGGGAGACAAAGGCGGCCGGGCGTGGTGCTGGCCACCCACCCCCTCGTGTGCCGTTCCGGCCTTCATAGGTGCTCGCTAACAGCACTTGCCCCTACAGTTTGTTAAGGCTATACGGGGGATCTTTGTCTTTGTAGCTGTGTGTGCACCTGTGTGAGTACCTGTGTGAGTACCTGTGTGTGTGTTCCTGTGTGTGTACCTGTGTCTACCTGTGTGTGTCTACCTGTGTGTGTCTACCTGTCTGTGTGTACCTGTGTGTCTGTGTCTGTGTGTGAGTACCTGTGTGTGTGTACCTGTGTGTGTTCCTGTGTGAGTACCTGTGTGTGTATGCGTGTGTCTACCTGTGTTTGTACCTGTGTGTGTACCTGTATGTGTACCTGTGTGTGTCTACCTGTCTGTGTTTGTGTACACCTGTGTGTGAGTACCTGTGTGTGTACCTGTGCCTACCTGTGTGTGTGTACCTGTGTGTGTCTACCTGTCTGTGTGTACCTGTGTGTGTGTACCTGTGTGTGTATCTGTGTGTGCGTACCTGTGTGTGTTCCTGTGTGTGATCCTGTGTGTGTGTACCTGTGTGAGTACCTGTGTGTGTATGCGTGTGTCTACCTGTGTTTGTACCTGTGTGTGTACCTGTATGTGTACCTGTGTGTGTGTCTACCTGTGTGTGTCTACCTGTCTGTGTGTGTGTACACCTGTGTGTGAGTACCTGTGTGTGTATCTGTGCCTACCTGTGTGTGTGTACCTGTGTGTGTATCTGTGTGCATGTGTTCACTCACACCAGGTACCACGAGTGCTTCTGAACCTGTTCAAGCTGCTCAGACGAGAGAGAGACAGGGAGAGAGGCAGGGGGGGAAGGGGAGAGACAGGGGAAAGTGGGGGAGATGGTGGGAGATGATGGGAGATAAAGAGAGAGACAGAGGAGAGTGGGGGAGATGGTGGGAGATAAAGAGAGAGACAGGGGGAGGGGTAGAGAGTCAAATAAAAAAAAGCGGGGAGAGATGCGGAGAGGGGAGATGCAAGGAGACACAGAGGAGAGGCAGGAATGGGAGGGAAGAGGAGAGAGAAGGAGGGGAGAGAGGAGAGAGAGAAATCTGTCAGTGCAAAGTCTCCGATGGGGCTTCATCGCGTACGCACATAGACACGCACAACATCAACAACAACAGCAGCAGCAGCCGCCATTCGCCACAAAGCGGCGGTGACGTCATCACGGCCCTTGTGCCAGGCCATGTGCACGTCAAGGCCACGTGAAGCGTCGCACAGACACACACACACCACACGCACGCACAGGCAGAATCTCACTCGACGTTCCGAGCTGAGCGCCAGAAGCGTTTGGAGTCGTTGCCCGTGTCCTCCACTCTTAACCCCATGGAACATGCTATGGGCACGTTACGGATACGCTATGGACACGCGTGTGGCCCACGTGGGGAGGGGCGACGGTGCCCACGTGGGGGGAGGGGGGCAGGGGGGGGGCAGGGGGGGGCAGGGGGGGGCAATGCCCCAAGCTCACCTGCAGCCTCTTCTCGGCGTCCACCTCGATCATGCCGCGCAGCAGCGCCTGGCAGTCGGGGGGGATGAAGTGCGGCATGTGGAACACGCCGCGCTTCACCTTCTCCAGCAGCTGCCGCAGGTTGTCGTCGTCGAACGGCAGGGCGCCCTTGGCCCGGAGACGCAAACACAACACGGAAGACACAAAGACCAAAGGCCCTCCCCGGCGTGGACTTGACGCACCGTCGAGGGGGTGGCAAGCGCTGAGGGGTCGCGGCGAGGTGAGGGGTCGCGGCGAGGTGAGGGGTCGCGGCGAGGCGAGGGGTCGCGGCGAGGCGAGGGGTCGCGGCGAGGCGAGGGGTCGAGGCGAGGCGAGGGGTCGCGGCGAGGCGAGGGGTCGAGGCGAGGCGAGGGGTCGAGGCGAGGCGAGGGGTCGAGGCGAGGCGAGGGGTCGCGGCGAGGTGAGGGGTCGCGGCGAGGTGAGGGGTCGCGGCGAGGTGAGGGGTCTCACCACGAGCAGGGCGAAGAGGATGACCCCGCAGCTCCAGACGTCGGCCTTCCTCCCGTCGTACTTCTCCCCCTGTGGGCGTCACCACCACCGCCGCCACCACCGCCACCACCACCGCCGCCACCGCCACCACCGCCACCACCGCCACCACCGCCACACAGAGAAGGCCGCGCGTCATTCCCGTCTCGTTTCTCGACGGATAACAACGACATTGACTCGCACTGCCACCACCACCACCGCACTGCCACCATCGCCACAGCCATCACCACACACCGCCACCACCACACCGCCACCACCACACCGCCACCACACCACCACCACCACCGCCACCACCACCACCACCACAGCCATCATCACCACCACCGCACTGCCACCACCACAGCCACTACAGCCACCACCGCATCCACCACGACCGCCCCCCCCCCCCCCCCAACCGCAGAATGGTTGTCATGTAATAAAGAAGGACCGTGGTGGTTCGGAGCTCAGGAGAGGGATACTCACGCGGATGACTTCAGGGCACGCGTAGTGGGGGGACCTGCACACGGACAACGAGAGGGGCGGCAGTTGCAGCGACAACACGAGGCCACGGTGGCGACGGCGGTGACCATGCTGATGAAGGTGACGGAGATGCTGATGAAGGTGGCCATGATGATGATGATGAAGGTGGCGGTGACGATGATGATGAAGGTGATGATGATCATGAAGGTGGCGATGGCAGTGACGATGATGATGAAGGTGACAATGATGATGAAGGTGGCGATGGCGGTGATGATGCTAATGAAGGTGGCGGAGATGCTGATGATGATGATGGCGGTGACGATGATGATGATGAAGGTGGCCATGATGATGATGATGAAGGTGGCCATGATAATGAAGACGGCAGAGCGAGGGCCCGGTGTGCTGCGTGAAAACATCGGGGGGGGGGGACAAAGGCGGCCCCCCACACGGGCTGGCCGTGATTTCGTCGCGACCGAATCGGCCGCGATGCCATCCGCCACGCCACCATCACCCTCGTGGCGGCGCTCGCCCCCCAACGGCCCGGGTCAAGGGGACTCATCCGTGGAGACGGATCCGTGGAGACGGATCGCCATCGCCCCGCGCGAGGGGTGGCGAGTCGCGCGCAGGGCTCACCCGCAGCTCGTCTCCAGCAGGCTGTCCCCGACTTGCAGCGACGCCATGCCGAAGTCGGCGATGCGGATGTTGTTCTTCTCGTCCAGCAGCAGATTCTCGGGCTTGAGGTCCCTGTGGCTTTTGGCACAAAGGCAAAGACAAAGATCCCCCACCGCCCCCCCCCCCCACCGCTCCCCCCCACCGCTCCCCCCACCGCTCCCCCCCACCGCTCCCCCCCACCGCTTTCATCATCATCACGGTGGCTAGGAGATGTTAACTACCTCGCCTGGTGTGCAGGAGGTCGTGGGTTCGATCCCGACCCTGACGCCTGCTGCTGTTGTATATTTGGAGTTTGCGTCCCTCATCATCATCATCACGGTGGCTAGGAGATGTTAACTACCTCGCCTGGCATGCACATGATCATCGTTTAAACCGCGTTGTGGAGACGGCACCTGGGGCGAGCCGCCCGCTCACCAGATGGAGTGGCTGTGGCAGAAGTCGAGGGCCGAGATTATCTGCCGGAAAAACCGGCGCGCTTCCTTGGGCGTGAGCCGCCCCTTCTTCACCAGGTAGTCGAACAGCTCCCCGCCAGACACGTGCTCCAGTACCAGGTACCTGCACAGCAGCCGCAGTCAGCCGCAGCTATGTCAGTCGCGGTCCAGCCACAGTCAGTCGCAGGCAGTCGCAAGCAGTCAGCCACATACAGACACGTGCTCCAGTACCAGGTACTTGCACCGCAGCCGCAGTCAGCCGCAGCTGAGTCAGTCGCGGTCCAGCCACAGGCAGTCGCAAGCAGTCGCAAGCAGTCAGCCACATACAGACACGTGCTCCAGAACCAGGTACCTGCACAACGGTCGCAGTCAGCCACAGCTAAGTCAGTCGCGGTCCAGCCACAGTCAGTCGCAAGCAAGTCGCAAGCAGTCAGCCACATACAGACACGTGCTCCAGTACCAGGCACCTGCACCGCAGCCAGCCACAGTCAGTCGCAATGCAGCCACAGTCAGTAGCAGTCAGCCTCAGTCAGTCACAGTCAGTAGCAGTCAGCGACAGTCAGTTGCAGTTGGTCACAATCAGTTAGTCAGACATGTGATCCAGTTCCAGGTACTTGCACCGCAGCCACAGTTAGTCGCAATCCAGCCACAGTCAGCCGCAGTCAGTCGCAGTCAGTAGCAGTCGGTGACAGTCAGTCGCAGTTGGTCACAATCGGCTAATCAGACACGTGCTCCAGTTCCAGGTACTTGCACCGCAGCCGCAGTCAGCCACAGTCAGTCGCAGTCAGCCACAGTCAGCCACAGTCACGGTGGGAGGGGGGCGGGGGGCCACCCACAGGTATTTCTTGTTCTCGTAGACGTCATAGAGCTTGAGGACGTGCGGGTGCTCGATGAGCTTCAGGATCGCGATCTCGCGCTCCACCTGCACACGCGGACGCACAGAGAGGGCGACAAGGCCGTGATCGATATACTGTATATGAAAGGGAAATATAAAAAAAGGGAAATTTGTGAATATGTGAGTCTGTTCTAAATGTTTAGCGTACTTCCCGACATGCAACAAGCTTAACATTTGCCATGTGGGTACTTTCCAGACTGTACACCATGCACAAATTATAAAAATACACTTTTGATGTTTTGGGGGGCGCAATAATGGATATATTTTGCACGGCAAGTGAGCTGTGACGTCACATCTGTGTCATGTCACCCGCATTCGGCAGCGTCACGCAGTGTGCCTGCTGATGTCACGCAGTGGGCCTGCTGACGTCACGCAGTGTGCCTGCTGACGTCACGCAGTGTGCCTGCTGACGTCACGCACCCCCCCCCCCCCCCATCCTCCGCGTAGGCCGTGTATTAATCAAAGACAAGAATCCAAGTCTCGGGCGAAGCCGGGTAGTAAAGCTCGTATTTTATATATATGTATTGGGGTGGACACATCCCCCCCAATATTCAAATATGCTCAAAATGTCCCCCCCCCCCCCCCAATATATTGCTATAAAATAGATTTCTGTTTTTTTATTGTGGTTATGGTTGTACTTTATGAATCCATAATCTCTGCCATTACATACAATGAAACAAGAAAAAAAACAGCAATGTATTAGACACCTATTAGACATTATTGTAAAAACAAAAGTCCATCCTATGTGGTAGTGAATTTTTTATATTTTAGGCAGGAAATGGCAGGAAATTAGTTTTAAAATTTAGATTTTTTTTTCTGGGGGGCGACCCCCAGACCCCCTGGAAGATTTGGTCCCCCCCAATGTTGACTCCATGGCTATAGCCTTGGAGGGCGATGATGGGAGATGGGAGAAGAATGATCCGCACAGAGAGAGAATGATAGGAGAATGATTCACGGGGAGAGAGAAGGATCCACAGAGAGTGAATCAGAGAAGAAAAAATCACAGAGAGAGAATCAGAGAAGAAGAATTAACAGAGAGAAAGAATGAGAGGAGAATGATTCACAGAGAGAATGAGAGGGAATGATTCACAGGGAGGCTACCTTCATGAGCACGGACTCGCTGAGTTTTTCTCTGTTCACGATTTTCACCGCCACCTTGCGTCCCGTCACGCTGTGGATCCCCAACTTGACGAGCCCTGCACACGCACGCGGGTGGGTGGTGGGTGGTGGGTG